CGTGGGTTCCTATAACGGAAATTCCTATAACGTAGCGAAAAAATTGCGGCAGTATTCGTATAAAGGGATTCGTAAAACGTCGTCGCCGACTCGTGTCGCGACAAGATTGGTCGAATCTGGACCAATAGTGGATGAGCAGCCGAAGTACTTTCCTCTGTCCAGCGCCACGCTACAGAAAGTTTAGGCGGGTAAATTGAGTTTGCTATCGTCTGTACAGTATGTAAATTAGGTACCGTAAGTCTAATGCAGCACTAATTTTATACATTTTTTGTGAAAGAAACATTTCTTATTCAACGGCCATAAAAATTATTTCTATTAATGATGTCTCCAAAGGTCAACGAATTTTTCGCAGAAAAATAATTTATCAGAAAACGCGGCCGCCGTTTGGTGCGCTGCTCCGCGACGAAAACAAGCGTAAGCAACGGCATAGTCGAACGGTGCACACTCGGTAAGTAATCCTACAATTTTTTGTTTATAGCATAGTTTATACGGAGTATTGCCAAAAAATTATACGTGTTTTGGAAATGTTGAGTCGAATTAGTCTATAATCGGTTAATTTTATAGAAGAAAACCTTTCAAACAGCCTTAGTCCGTAAATTTCACACGTGTAGGGCTGTGATTGGCTCATGTCTTTAAGGATTCCTACAACGTAAAATTCTTATAAAGTGGAACGTATCTAAGCGTTATAGGGGAGTCTACTGTATATATATAAAAGTCGTCGGGTCTTTACCCAAGGGTCCGAGTTCGAATCCGAACTATACTCGTGCTATTTTTTAAGGACAATCTGGATCACTCATACTGAGAGTTAGATCTACATATTTATATAATGGGAATATTTTAAGCACGTGTGACTATATATTTAGATGTCACAACGCGCTGATTGGTCAGCTGAATGACGTCAACCTACTAAAATCGGAAATGTTGATCGATCAGCCTAAACTTTGTATTGTTGTTGTTGTTGTGAGAGCGGGCAGATATTATATAATAGTTATAGACATTTCTTCTAACTTGTAAAACTTAATAAAAAACACTTATTTATAATTTCACTAGCTCTTGTGTGCATTGACATTAATTGAAAATTTTGCAATAATTTTAACATTAAACTAAGTTACGTGATATGAAAGATTTTAATGCTGAGACATTTTTAAACATAAAGAAGTAACTTTTATCTGTTTTGTATTTTTTTTAAGCTTTTTTGTACATTTACTTTAATAATAAAATAATCAAAAACAACAAATATAAATTGCAAATTAAGTTTTTTTTTTACATTCTTTATTAGACAATACAGTATTTTTAACTTTACAGAAACTTGTATTTAATGTTTTATATACTGTATATATATATATATTACAACAGAATATGCTAAGTGAAAATGCAGATTAGTTAACAATATAATGTATATTTTCACCTAAACATAATCCATACTTTTTAATGCATAATTGTTAAAACATTTAAAATAATAAGTTATTTTTTCTACAAATTCTCTAATACATTCGAATCAAATCCTGTGAAAACTTAAATATAGACACTGGATATATATTTTTCTATGCAACCAGGTATACAGCACATATAAGGCATCTAGAAATAGTTATTCATTAGTATGGTAATATTATTTTAACAAAAAATAAAAAGGATTAAAAAAATAGTTTACTATGAAAACATTACAGTACAAATGTAGCATTACTTTTTCCTAACACATATTGATAAAGAATTTCCATGATGAAATGTATGGAAATTCTTATTTAAAACATATATAACTATTATATTCAAAGGAATTTAAATACTTACAGTTTTATTAATTGTTAAATAATTTATACAAGAATTCTATACTTTTAATTTGAGAAATGGTCACACAAATTTGATTAAACATATTTACACATATATCCACGATGGAACTGGATATATGAAATTTCTGTAAATTTGAAAAGTATTGTTTCTTAACACACAGATTTTGAACTGACATTCAAAAGCACAAAATGTCTATTGACAGAAAGAACTGTCAATTCTAACTAAAACATTAAAAAAAATTCTGATAAGAGTAATCTATGGAGAATATTCTTTATTCAAAATTGTTCAACAATTTTTACATTTAAACTTTATAATTTGTTAAGCAAGATTTGTGAAAATTTCTCTTTCAGAGGTATACAAAACTTAGTTAATTTTATTGTTTCATCTAACTATATTAAGTGCATATGACAAATTCAAAGAATATTCTGACTTATCTTAATTATAAATTTCGTCCTTTCTCAAACTTTTTATGAATAATATCTGTAACAAAGTATAAATTTTGTTATTTATTATCTGTGCACGTAAATTTAAAACACTAATCGCACTATTAAAATGGTCTATTGTGTATGATTTGGTTCAGAGGTGCATAAAGATCAAGTATGAAGTTAAATGTTAAAAAAATAATAATCAGCTGTATTTTCACTTTATACTCACTCCAAATTACGACAACTAGAAAAAAATAATCTATTTCGTCATGATTCGTTCTGACGACCACAAAATATAATCTATACTGTAAGGTCTCTTTTTATGCGGATTATTTTTATGCGATTTTGAAGTTGTGCGGTTTGTATTTCATCCAAAAATTTTTTGGACAAACATACATATAGGCTTGTTTAGGAAGCCCGTGTATAGATAGTCTCCAAAAATCGTGGAACGCTCAAAGCTCACTCCATTTGTTCCACTGACATATAACGTTTATGGATGTAAAGGACAGCTAGATCTACCTTAATCGCTTTAGTTCCTAGCAATTTTTGATATAAATGTAATTAAACATAAAAAATACTTAAAACTGAAAAAAAACAAAAGAAATGCGTTAATTTTGAAGAAAAAGCTTCAAAGTTTAACTTCCTTTGTCTCGCCCTTCTGTGAAATTTAACACCGATGAGTCATTGTTTACACATCTGGATGACCTTGAACACAGCTGGAGTTGGATTTCCCGGGGCATTCTCATAGACGTCGCGGGAGGACAAGGGTTTAAAGTAGGGTGAACACTAGCTGGCCGTATATTTTTAAATATTTTTAAAAAATTTGGAGACTTAAAAAACATTCCAAAAATTCAAAAAAAAAATTCCAAAATGGCCTTAAGGACCGTGTTTTATGTAACGCTATGTAACCTGCCCGAGTTAACTCGGGCGAGGAACTAAATGGGTTTTAATTAACTCTTCACATCCAGATGTCAGTGATTTGTTTTTAGAGTGAGCTTTTGCAATTCGGGGATTCCCCTTGTACATGATACTATCGACAAGTCGCTATTACATCATTCTGAGTTTCGCATTGAAAGGTATAAACTGTAATTGTTTTAAAATTAAATTTTATTTTAGCGGTGTTTTGTTCATTTTTATAATAAGTAGTTGTTTTGGTTTTATGCGATTTTAGAAAATTACGGAACGTATCCCTACTTTTTCAAGGCAAGTAAAGTCTTTTTTTATGCGAATTTTTTTATATGCGCTTTTCTGTAGAACGTATCCACCGCATAAAACGAGACCTTACAGTACTTCGGTGTGTTGACGTCATTCAGCTGACCAATCAGGGCTTTGTCCCATCTAGATATTTAGTCGCACGTTTTTAAACTGAACGTACAACTATAATGCACAGGAGAAATAATTGCTAGATGGCGCCTAGTCGACACGAATTTTTTTATACAAGCTGAATAAAGAAAACCATTGTCACTCGCAATATGAAAATTTCTTTGGCAAATTAATTATAATTTCATACTATTGCTGCAATATTTTCAATTAGGGAACTTCACGCTTCTAGTCTATCCAACAAACTACAGACATCACTATTGCAAAAAGCACTGTTAACGTAAAATATGCCAATTTATGTCTTAAGCACCCTTGGAAAATAACTGATTCATTCATTTTTCCTATATTTAGCATTTTTATTAGCTTTTTCATTACGAAGGGAGTCTGGCCCCTGGACTCTTCCTTGGTTTTAATTTTAGTTTTTGCTCTTTCTGTCCTGTGGGCACTAAGAGGGCCTTTTCTAGCAATTTCATTATGGGTTCAATTCGGCCAGGCCCACAATGGAGCGGCCGGATTGTGAAGGACGGGGGCCGACATATTCGGTCGGATCACCCCGAAAAATTCCCAGGTTCGTCCGGATTCTAATCCGGGTCCCTAGAGTGGCCGAGCATCCGGCCGTCACAAAATATATATTTGCCTGATGGGACTTGTTCAAACAGCACGGGAATACATATCGATTGGCGTAAGCGCCGGCACCTATGAATATGAAGGGAGGAAACCGATCAATCCTACCGGCGCTTCTGGAAATTTCGCGACCTTTCAGTGGGCCCATCCGCTATTGATTGTGATTGGTCGAGATATAAACCGTAATGCATTTCATGTCCGTGTCCGCATAAAAAGGGTGACTGGTATTGATGTTATGTTTTCCGGACCACAAAAATCATCTGTTAAGGAGGACGACCACTTTAGAGAAGTGTCCGTTAAAAGAATTTTTACTGTATATATTTGCGTTTGTATATGTTTAAAAATTTATATTATTTATATTAAAAACTTTTGATAAATATAAATGTAAGAAACTATTCAAATTATCGAAACTATATAATAAATATAGCCTACGACATTTTATATACTGTATAAATAATTTAAATCTTTCCTTATATTTTTCCTCGTATTAACTTGATATTTTGCAAACATTGTATATATTGGCCTTGAGCCATTTCTGTTTATATCAGCTTAAGATTAATTGAAAGAAAAACATAAAATATTTAAAGAATTATACTAACAGTTTATATATATAAAAGATCAATTAATACAATTAAAATTTAAAGCACTTTTTCTTCCTACGTAGGAACTCATGACACAATTAAGTTCTTAATATTTTGATACACTGTAATTTATTAAAATTAGAAAGATGACTTGAAACTTTTAACTTGTTAAACTTGAAATTGTTTCTCAATCAAAGTTTATCTGCAATCGATAACATGAGATTTTAGTTATGATAAAATTGACGTTGTATGTTTTACAAAATGGTTACTACAAAATATTTATGTAAAAGTTAAACGCGTTATTTCTGAGTTATGTTTTCTTTATCGGTTACAGTGGATTCATTTAATATTTATTTATTACTAAGTAAATGAAATATTGTTTAACACGATTAGTATTTTAAATTTTAATGTACATATTTCTTTATTTTTTGAGGTTTTTGACCCTTACGTTGACTCCAGGACCCTTGTGATCCCCGGTCTTCAGTTTAATAATTGGTTTTATAGAGTTTTCATTTCTCGTGCGATTGTTTTACTACAAAATACTAAATTTTTATAATTATGTTTTGCTCTTATAATTTATATATGTTTACACTATGAATCGGGTACATTTTGTTTCTTTTCGGTATTCACTATAACTATTAAAGACATTATTATTAATAATAAAAAATGTGCAATTTTAATATTTAGTTTGATATGTACTGCTTCTTTAAACAGTTAACCACTACTATGTGGTGAAATTTTACCAGAATACAGGCTTAACTAAAATGTAAATGTCTGTATAATATAAATTGTCTTTGCCATTTATAGTCATTTAATTAAATAGGGATAAGACATTCTTCACAGCAGGCACCGTCTGTGGCAGATCACCCAGTGTTGCATTGTCGTAGCCCATTAAAGTAAACCAACATCCAAAGGATGGAGAGTTGTAACTTTAAAATATTTGCAATTTTTTTAAATTTTAACTGGACGAATATTACTTAATTGTATACAAATCGATCAATAGAAACGTTTTATATAAACCATAAACATATTAAGGAGAAATACTGAAAACAATTTTATTCTTTTGTATGATTAAAAAATTTGGGACGAGACTAATTAATAATTTATATTGTCATCGTAGCCATAACATTTTAAAAATTTGTAAAAAAGAAAAATTAGCATTTTTCGGCAGCTATTACGAAATTGCCACTTTCATGCAATTTATAGAGATTCCAAGCGCACAAACCAATTGCAGAAACCGGTACAACAATCCTACAAAATGTTTTCCAGTAGGAGGCTTCTTTAATTAAAACGGTTGGGCATCTCGTTGACACGTAGTGAAGCGGTAGGTTCGATCTATTGACGGGATCTTTCTCTACTTTGTATTTGCTGCAAGGATCAAATTGCCAAGCAAATCCATATATCGAGGAACATAGGAAGGTGAAGGTACCGAGCGAACCGTATAAAAATGGCTTCTCCGGCCAATAGTATGCCGTTGCGAGGGTACTTAAACCGGATATTATTATCAATTTATGCAAGAAATTTCCAAAAACAATCCAAACCGATGCCATTTCGCCAATATCAGGCGGTTCTATGATTATGATTCTTGCACCGAATCCCATCGCTCTCTCCATTTCGTTATCTGCCGTCTCGGATGTTCCGTCCCAATTTACATGATCGGAGAAGACTATGAAGATCCCCTGTTGCTTCAGTTTGTCTCTAAACAAAGATTTTTATATTTTGAAATAAGAATTGTTACAAAAATATATCTTTGGTTTATGCAAACTTACTTTATTTCTGCGATACTTGTATCGGGAATGCTTTTAGAAACAATTCTTTTGCATCTGCTTGCTCTCTCCATTATAATCTTAAATGAAATCAGAAAAATTGTAAATTGGTGACTTTTTAGATAAAAACTAAAGAATTGTTCGTTTTTTTAAGTAAAAATTGATTAAACAATTGCTTGTTAGATGAATTTAACAATGCAATATTGTTACATTAAGCTGAATCAATCACTCAAACAATGGTTAATTCATGAAATATGTTGCGGCCGGATGGCCGAGCGGTCAAGGTGGCAACCTACCGCTTTGGGGACCTGGATTCGAATCCAAACGGGTCGAAAAAACCCCAGGAATTTTTCGGGGGGCGGTCCGTTCGGATATGTCGGGCCCCGTCCCTCACCACCCAACAGCCCCATTGTGGGCCTGGCCGAACCCATAATGGGCTTAGCAAAAAAAGGCCCTCTTAGTGACCACAGGGCGGAAAGAGTTAAAAAAAAATTCATGAAATATTTTTTTCAATATTTAAAGCGTAGTAAATAAGCTAATAATATATTTCATTTGAAATGAAACGGACCATTGGCTTGTTTAGCTGCTTGTCACCTAGAAGTACCCTAAAACCATCTGTGATAAACGTGAAGATGAAATTAGAAATTTTCGTGGTAGGCTAGTATAAAGGTTGGAATATCCACTGAACAAAATGATACATGTGGGTTTAAAAATTTTCATCATCTTTATAGGGAGCTTGTAATCATCAACACGTGTTAAATCCCTTTCTTTGTTCAACACTGTTGAATAAAAGTGGGGCAGATAAAATTTGTAGACTCGTGACTTGTCCATAGATTTTCCCATAAACTCGAGAACATGAGTTAACACATTCTTGCCCCAAGCCTTCAATTGATATTGCCTAAATTATTAAAATTTGATTACAAAAGTGCTGCTTACAACGTTTAAAACACGTTTAAACGGTTTACAACGGGTAACAGCGCATGATATACGACACATCTAAATTACATCGAACAGATATCGACACTTTACCGTTAACTCATTCAATTTCCAATCCAGTTTTAGAAAAAACGATGTTTAATTTCACACGGTAACGTTCGAAACTCGTTTTCCATTACTGTGTTCGAAATTCTTTTTTTTCTTAACATTTTTTTTTTTAATTTTTAATTTTGGCATTCCTCGAAACCAAACACATACAATAAATAATAGAAAAGTTAGTAAACATGTATAAACATATTCATTGTAATATTAAACATGTATGAATTACGAAATAAAATATCGATTTCGCTAAAAATAGTAGTAAAAATAACTGGCGTCCAGTTAACGAAAAAGTACCGAGATATCAAATATGTGTCTCAAATTAACTCGTGTCTCAGTTTCAGACCGATTTGCATTTAACACACAAATATTGTTATTGCAGTAGCAAAGATATTCTATACTTCTGGAGGAATATCATTTCCATTTGAAGTAAACACGTAACATCCTTGTGTAGTAATTGTGAATGGGATTATCGAGATAAGTCCGAGATACCCAAGACAATTTCAAGTGAATTAATAAGTAAGTTACTTATAAAGTGATTCACTTGATATGGGATTTAGCGTAAAGGTTATATTAGATAATTTAATCGTATACATGTCTTCAATAAATTACGTTTATAGCAATAAATTAAATTAAACATCAAATTATTTACCTAGCTCTAAAAATTTTCAAAAATGTTCCGAGAAAAATCAAATTATTTCAAATTTAAACGGAAAAGAATCAGAATTTTGGAATTAAAATGTAACGTAATTAAGGTATTATGGTTATTTTTTATTTGTAAATTAATTTTTATTTTATATAATCCGCTTTTTTATATTGTTATTATAATTATTACAATAATTTTCCTACGAAGAAACACGTTTTACATTTTATGTATGTCTACCTTGTTGGCACTGAGCGCCTTTTAACTTAAGGGGTTAATCAAGCCTGTTGTGTGTTCGGCCAGGTCCACAATAGGAGCGATCGGGTGGTGAGGGGCGGGGTCTATCATATCCGAGATGGACCGACCACCGTAAAGTCATGTGATTGCTTGTCAGGAATCGACCTCGGTCACCCCATAGTGACACGTTAACCGCTCTAGGGACTTTGAAAGAAATCGAAAAACTCAGGAATTTTTCGGAGGTGATCCATCTTGAATATATTGGGTCCCATTCCTCACCACCTGGTTGAATCTACGATGGGATTGATTAAAAGGCCATTTTAGTGTTCACAGTCATATCAGTGGCCAAGTGGACAAAAGAAGTGAGGCTCGAACCAGCGATTGGTCGCTGGTTCGAGCCTCATCAACGGGCAGGCCCGTGGAGTTTTGCAGCTTTTCTTCGTGTGTCTAAAACTTAAATAAGTGTAGTTTTCCAAGGAAAGTCTTCCCGGAAAGCACACTCTTCTTGGCAAATCTCTCACGTGTCACATTATCGTAACCAACCTAAATTTTACTGTTAACAAAAATATATGAATTAAACTTTTATTATAAATATATGGAATCGGCCGAAAACGATGAGGAAGGAAGAATGACGAAAGTGAAAAGACGTGAGGATGCGAGTTCAATTTTAATCAATGAATTATAAAAAATAAATTAATGAAATGGCATTTCTGTAATTATTTGATTTTTTGTTCGGACCACCTACCGAAACTTCCTGAAAAGATTTTCGACCCGTCCAAATTCGATTCCGAGTCCTTTTATAGCGGCAGCTGCTACCTTAACCGCTCGGCCTTCGTAATTGTTTGATTAAAGTAATCGGACATCTTAATTTTCCGGACAAGTCCTACACTCGAGCTTTATTCTGTTGATTTTTAATAATTTCCAATTTTTTGGGACGGACATGTAAATATTTAAACTTTACAACAAAATACGTTGATTTACTAGTCGAACAAGAAGGAGCAAGCGGGACATTCATACAGTACCCCGCTTGCTTCTTCCTGTTCGATTGATCAGAGCAGTGGATTACTCCGCTCTCTATTCGGTTCACTGAGAATAACTGCATTCGGAATAGTTTTTCTGCTCTAGCTTAAGAGTAACAATTGTTCTAAATCATTCGCCGCCATTATTAGATTTTCTCAATTTATCTGAAGAATCATCATTGAATGACAAGGAATGTCATTTTTTCGAGTTACGGGAATGACTCCTCACCAAATTAAATAAAAAAAAAAAACGAGTTGCTTATCTTTCCCGGCTACATTTAAAATTTTGGTGACGACATCTGTTATGATATTTTATTTTAAAAACGTTTTATACTTTTATTATAAAATGAGAAGAAGGTTAATTTCAGTGATAAAAATAAGTTTTATAAAATATTATAAATGCTAATAATGAGTAAAATATTAAGTCCGATCCCGCTCGAGTTTTTTTTTCCTCTCTTTCCGCTCTGTGGGGACTGGGAGAGCCTCTTGGGGCAGGCCCATTATGGGTTCGGTCAGGCCCACAATGGGGGGCCGGGTGATGAGGGGCGGGACCCGACATATCCAAACGGACCACCTAGTTCGTTTGGATATGTCGATTCCTTGACCTGTCCGGATTCGAGCCCGGGTCCCCCAGAGCGATGGTCTGCCACCTTGACCGCTCGGCTATCCGGCCTCCCACTCGAGTTATGACACCTAACCCCTGTATCTTTCCATCTTCTCATCTTTTAACCACAAAAATTTAATTTCAAAAATCCCTCTAATACACAAACATCCCTGAAAAATTTCAGAAATTTTCGAGAAAAAGCACAAGAGTTATTAAGCTTCGACGAGGGTGAATAAAATCGTGTCTCGCTACACACACAAACATTTCATACATAAAGAAACCACCCCGATTTTTTTTAATTACATTTCTCGGCGTTTCAAGATCCCCAGAATCCAAAAATGTAAAAACTTGGGAAAGTCATTTTTTGACCGACTGCCATACTTTTCCTCTGTTATATGCAGTATAATAGAGCCGGGAAAGTAATTGCGTGTTCAATAAAATTTTATAACTTTCTATGCTATTTAATTAACCATTTTTGAACTTATTTCTATATATATACAGTTGTTATGATGCTCGGAGATGCAGGGTTTAACCTAGTTTCCCTTATCCTCTAGTTGTGTCACTGGTGTAAAGCAGTAGTATATTTTTGTTTATTGTCTGTACAAGAAGTGATAAATGAAAAAACGCTTTTATTATATTATTAATTTTATGTTTAGTATCGAAATTCATTGTAATATTTCGTTCCCAACTGGTAAATGAAGTTTCAGTGCGACTGCAACTGATTTTTATTAACGTTACACAGAAATTTTAATATTAAGAGAAAAACATGGTGTCAGTCAGCGCAAAGAAAATTAAATAATTAACTAATGAATTTATTTTAATTTATAATTTTTATACTTTTACTTGAATAAATGCAAATTTAATTTAATTAATTAATTTTTAAGTTTTTAGTTTTTATTATAACATTTTTAAACAATGAAAGATTAAATAATATACCGCTTTTTCATATTATATTGGAACAATTGAAAAATCAAGAGTTGGATAATGAAATAATCACTGTGATTTTTCTTCAGAAATGGACGATTCCTCTTCGACAGACAGTTCCAGGACCAAAAAATTGCCCATTACGAGAGACGTACTGGAAAATATTCTTCCTTTAGGAAACTCTTTCGCTTCTTCCTCTAGAAATTCTGAAATGCCAAATCACAATTTCAAGAATAACTTTACTTACGCCATTTATGAACGAACTATGCCTGCCAGCAATTCTTTGGCATTTAATGATTGTCTTCCTTCTACATCTGGAATTCATAAAGAATCGTGTAAACAAGCAAAGAAGAAAACAAAACAGAAAGTTAAACAAGTAAGTATATATCTATACTAATATTATAAAGAGGTAAAGTTTGTAAGTTTGGATGAACTCATCCGATTTCAAAAATTCTTTTACCAATATTTAGAATGGACCTTCAGGGTGGGCATAAGCTGTATATTATTCCGTTAAAAATTCATATAAATTAAAACATATCATCTAGGTAAGTGTTATATTTTTGGTGTCAGCGGGAGGCGAGGGGCAAGACGCGTACGTATACGAGATAGGTAACCGCGCGGCACAGTCACGTGATCGGCGAGATACGCAGTGTACGTGTCCGAACTTGTATATTATATAGATGTCGAAATCCCCCCGCGGGGTAGAGAGACAAGATTAAGGCTTACCGTGAAGAACTTGTCTTCTATTATAATATTTTAGATGCGGTTTTTTTGCGTTTTTGATTGCGTTTTAATAGGGTACGTCAAGAGAATGTACACTAAAAAGGGATTTTTCGAAATTCCTCCCGCGGGGAGTGTTATACATTTATAATAGATACATTTTGAGCCACAGCAACGCGTGGCAGGGTACAGTTAGTTTTTAAAATAAATTAATCATCTTTATCTCTCTGGAGATAAAGTGTATTTCATTACACTAACTATCCATCTCTGTGGAAGGTAGGGCCATTGGTAGGCCCTACCTTCCACAGAAATGGATAAAATCACTGAACACCGGTATCTGATCCTAGATTCACGTTTGACCAATGGGCTGGCTGCGTGGAGTATTTGTGTCTAATACCTAAATAAAGGCTAGTTTTCTCATAAAATGCAGTCCCTACAGACAACTCCGTTGTCAGACCGCCCTTACTTTGTTCTGAGCTAAAATTTGCATTAATTAAATGTTTGTTCCTCAATAATTCTCATGTCAGGGAATCTTAAAATAATGTTTCCTTGACTTCAATGGCTTGAAAAACTTACCAAAATAGCCGATAATTCGATGACACTAAGTGAGTGAAAAGTAGAGAAACCGGATCACTGAATTGGAGAATGACCAAAATTTCTTTGTGATGGCTGATGACCACTGCGGTCGTATTTCAGGATCTCTATACTCTAAAAATAATAATTTCCTGCTAAATGTGTTTACTAAAATATTTTTATTTTTATGAAGAATTATATCAAAAAACGCAATTTCCAAGTAGAAAAAATTCCATCTTCTTCCAGAACGCGCAAACGACAGGTAGTTTGACAATAAACCATTTTAGTAATTTTACATTCAACAGAGATGTCTTCATTATTCTACTTGTACTTGTGAATGTCATGTAACTGAAGAGCAACACCAAAGAACAAAAAATAAACGACATGAGAGACAGTCAAAGAATTCTATTCATAAAGGTCCATCTAATATTGACATGATTATAATCGACGGATAGAAATGTTAGTATTTTGCATACAGAATATACATATAAAATTTAGATTTTATAGAGTGGGATGGAAAGTAACTAGTCATGAGAAATCGTTAAAATTTTTGTACTATAAACACAATACTGTAATAATAAAATTAATGTGTGCATGTATGTAAATCAATGAAATTTTGTGATTTCTGTATCGAAAGTGCGGGCATTGATCGAGAAAGGCCGCACACTCAGTGGCAAGAAAAGATGGTCGACCACTTGTCTATTCAGGAGCGAGCGCAGATTGCTATACGCTATGAGAAGTGGCGTAGCGTAGTGGAGGTCCCGGGCGGCACTTTTTAGGGGGCGGCAAAATTTCACAATAAATAATAATAATATCTTCTAAAAACTTGAACCATTTCATCACATATTTTCGTCGCACCTACGATTCGGACCGATCGAAATGAGTACGGAATAGTGTTACCATCCGGACAGTCCGGGATATATCGTGCACGACCCGTCGACTTTTTTTTTTTTTTTGCTTGTACGGATCATTCGTATTCATATACACCTCCAATATCCAATAGAGCTAAGAAGTCATCTGGTTACTTACGTTAACCCTACCCAAGTCTCCCTAGTCGCTAACTGTAACTGATTTAGAACCGGCATGCACTGCACATTATTCTTCGCATTGCAAAATGGCATACGCATGCGTCAGAACAAACCTCACCTGCCGTCCGGGTCAGCGATTTTAAAAACGTGGCAACACTAGCACGGAATTTTTCATTACTTATTCTGTGACGAAACTGAATTTTAGTCTTTTAAATTGAGATACCTAAATAAGGGGACGGCGAAATTTTCCTTTGCCCCCGGCGGCTGACATCCACGCTACGTCACTGGCTATGAGGTATGGAAATCAGTGGTTACTGTTTAGAGATGGTGGCGTACGGTGAAGGGATGACGTGCCACATTCCATTTAGAAATAATCAAGAATTGTCGTTCGAAGCTAATTATAAAAGGTTCGGTTCAGAGAAATGGCAGTCCATCCATGTCGTTATTCCCGGTTGTTTAATGAAGTTGGTGGATGGTGTCAGAGCCTACATTGAATTTTAAGGAAAGCTTCCATATTTCTGTTTAATACAGTACAAGAAAAATAATTTTCATTATCCTTTGCTTTAAAAATGTACAAATTATAGCGATTTCTCAATGCCTAATTACTCCCCACCCACCCACCCTGTAAAAATCGTGTCATTCAATAATTATTAGGGATTGCGATATTAAGAATTCTTATTGCATACGACTTGAATTTTAGATACATTTAGGATGCTAATTAATTAATACCTGAACAGATACCGGTGTAGTTTCAAAGTAGAAAGTTCTCTAGGTTGCACCTCATTGGCAGATCGCTTTTGTGTTGCGTAGCATTAGCCTATGAAACACTTATTTTAGTTACAAATTTTAATAATAATAATATTTATATTATAGGAAAATTGGAACAGTGAAACAAATTTTAGAGACGAAAGTAATATAGAAGACCGACAAAATGCAACTGAATTAAATGGCAATGAACAGGAAGAGCAAGAAGTGTTTATTCCATCGCGACAAATCGAAAATTCGGAAAGGGAATCAGACCTAAATATCTTTAACAATATTTATTATTTCGGATACGCATTTTACGCATTTGTTAAAAGTTTTATGGAAGAATTCGTCAGTGTCATAAAACAGCTGTAAATCATCTTTCTGAACATTTATTCAGACAGTTACCTCTATTAAAATTTGTTATTTCCTACGACAAGACAGATACTTACAGTTGTTTGAAAAACTGTTAGAGAAAAAACTGATTATTTTAATAATTTGGAACTCAGAGGGTATAAATGCGCTTTAAATTGTCCATCATTCAATGTTGGTATAATTTTTTCGGCATATTTTTCACTTTTGTTTAAACGACAACGTTTTCTTTTTCCGTTTGTTTCAAAATTTTAAAACTAATTCGTAGCCTGAACGGCGAATAATAAAAAAGCATACTATCGTTCGTGTTGCTTTATCAAGAGTACTGTTTGTTTATTCCCACAAGCTCCGAGAACAACGCGGTATGTTCTGTCACGTGATACTCATTCTCGGATCACTCGTTTCGATCGAAATAACAAATGCTCCCTCATTGAACACGTTGGTACCACGTGATATTTTAATATGTTCTTGTTGCCAGTTTGTGTTCACATAATTCGAGACTAACCGGCCTGATTAGGAGTTTCTGATCCAGAATATCTCATATTTCGTCTGACCAACTAAAATCTCCTGAGTTAATTAATTTTATCAATAGATACTGGAGAATATCTCTTGTTACATAAACATAGAAACCTTAGTGTTTCTATACATTTATTTTGTTTAATTAGCACCCTCAGCACCGCTGTTCAAAATCTCCGGCAACTTTCGGTTGCTGCCAGAGTGCTTCCAGTGCAAGCATCTTTTTCGGTGCTCCATATGCCAGCAAAAAAGATGGCAGCCACCACAAAGTTCGTAAGAGCTGTATTTTGCGTTGACAATTTTGAATTTAATTTATTTGTTGATGAATAAACCCCGAATAAATTAAAATTCCGTTAGTATATTAATAGAATATTTTAATATACTTGTATATTTACGTAAGACATCACATAATTTGTTTTAGTTGTTAAAGTGTAATCTTAGGATTGATTTAATTATTTAAAACGCCTACGAAAATTTAAAAAATCTTTATCCCATTTTTTCTTTTCGAAATACTGTATTCATTTATCATTAAGCTGTTCTCATTAAATAAGTTCAAAAATAAATTTAACGTAACGTGGAAATCCACATCATTCGCCATTTTTGTCGGCGTTTGTGTTCTCTCGAAAACGCCAGCATCTCACTGGATTGATGCTGAGATTTTGAATACGCCCATTGTTATCGTTGACTGACCTATAGAAAAATCAAATTTCACATTTCATTTAGCACTCGAATTCTGACATAAGAAGAGTTTTACATGTGAGAATATTTACGACATAGATCAGAATGAAAATAGCTAATAAAATCAATACAGTAATTCCTCCATTTACGCGAGTAATTGGTTCCACGAATACCGTGCTCAAAGGGAGCCATGAAATGTTGTCTAAATAGAGATCGTTTTTAAATATATTATTTTAATATCACTGAGATAGAAAAGTTTTAACTAAAAACTTTTTAAAATATAGATCTATTTACTTTTCTCAGATTGTTAGTTAATTATTAGCTATGATAATCACTTGTAAGAAAAGGAATTAGGGAATAATTTGTAAGATTAACTTACGAGTTAGATTAAATGAATATTTTGAATTGATGGAGACTAAAGTATATTTGAACAATCGGCATAAACGACCAGATTTAATAGTAACCACAAAGAAGAATATTTGGATACTTTTAACTTTAAAGGATTTATATTTATCATTTGAGATCAGTTTGTAAGTTGCTGTACCTGCAGTGGATAGCGCATTGGACTTCTATTCCAAAGGTCCCGGGTTCGAATCCCTGTAGTGATGTACAATACAGTAGAGCGTCGATTATCCGAATCAATCGGGGACGGGTTGTTCAGGGAAAAAAGAACTGATATTTCGGATAACCGATTGTGTACGAAAAAATACATTAATTTATTCCATGTTGAAATTTTTCTCCGTTGCGTGTCGCTTCGCGTTGAATTTTCGTCGATGTTAAGCCTAACGAAGACTATTGTATCGTTAAAAATTATTTTTTTTATTTTATTTTGTTCGTACAAAATATATTTATTTTGTACGAACAAAATAAATATATTGAAAAATATAAAAACAATAAAAAATTATACTTCAGAAGTTAATTTAGTATCAAAAACGTAAAATATTTGAGTAGCCAAAGATTGCAGCGCCACAGCACTGGCGAAAATTTAAATTTTCCGACTGGAATTCTTTTGGATAATCGACGCTCTACTGTATTTGTATTTTTGACGGTCAGATGGTTGGGACGGTAAAAGACTGCTGGTCTAGGAGTCCAGTTCGAAAGAAGGACCAAGGGTTGTATTTTGGGCTGTATCTCTCGCATGCGAGAGAAAGAGATGCGGTTCTATTCGTACAGTCTGATTGGCAATGACATCATTCGTACATACAGTAATGTTGAAGATCGCACGTATTTTTCAGATACTCTCTACAGTGGCGTGACATGGATGTCAGCCGCTCGGGGCGGAGGAAAATTTCGCCGCCTCCTTATTTAGGTATCTCAATTTAAAAGACTAAAATTCAGTTTCGTCACAGAATAAGTAATGAAAAATTCTTTGCTCATTTCAATCGGTCCGAATCGTAGATGCGACAAAAATATGAAATGAAATGGTTCAAATTTTTACAAGATATTATTATTTATTGTGAAATTTTGCCGCCGCCCCACTACGCTACGCCACTGACTCTCTAGACCAGGGGTGGCCAACAAGTCGATCGCAAAACCAATTTTGGTCGATCGCTCGCGATGTCTTAACTTAATGTGTTACACTTGTGAGTTGTAACCGAACGCAACGCGTGAACGTAACGCACAAACGCAACTGTAATGATATCGGACCTCCTCGTTCTTCCTCAGATGCGGTTTTGTCGGTCCATGTGCAATCCATTTGCGTACAGTTGTAAAAGGGGAATAAGAAATGTAGACAAAGGTCATAAAACTGAAAAAAAGAAGGGACAGAGAGAGTAGGTCAAGACACGGTAGAGAGAGGAAGGGTGAAGTGGTGGTCCTCGAAAGTGTCAACGTTGAGTTTTAATTTTTCTTCTGTTTAAAATGTAAGTTTTTTTTTTTTCGTGTTTTAAACTAAATTGTGGCTTTTCTTATCTATCTAAACATAGTATGTATTTCACACCTCCCGCCCCCTCGCCACTTAGACCAGGGATGGGCAACCTTTTTCTGTATAAGGGCCACATTTCAAAACTTTTGAACTGATGCGGGCCGCATACAAGATAAAAGAGGGGGCAAATGCCGGCAAATTACAATTATTTATTCATATATATTTATAAATTAGAATAGGTGTACTTAATTTAGCTTCTAGAACTGATGTAAACCTAATGCATCGAAAATATTTGATTCAATATTAGTCATTGCTAGTTTAAAATTAGTTTCGAGGTGAGTCTGTTTAGCCGGTTTCTCGTTGTAATTTTTACTAAAGTCATTGCACGAAAAACTATTCATATACATAAGTTGTAGAAAATAACGTTTGAATTTTTGCTACATACTTCTTAAGCTAGGAAATTGATATATTTATACACATTTTATGCGATTCGGGCCACGGGATGCCCATCCCTGACTTAGACTATGCCTACGACAACGAGTCGATCGCGACATATTTTTAAGATAAAAAGTAGATCTTATGTACACAAAAGTTGGCCACCCCTGCTCTAGACAGACGACTTCCACAGCTCGATTCCTCAATAATTCTCTGGAGGTTGAAGAAATGAAAGCAACATATAAGTTTGGAAGAAAGGAATGGCAGTTTGGACATCTGCTTTTTGACTGCGGTTATAGCGATCGTGAATTCCGAGAGTTACGATGCCATCTCGTTATCCGATGAAATGTTTATAAAAAATATTTGGCTGAAGAAGAATATTGTTAGAGAGGTTTAATATTATGTAATTGTGAGGGACAAACAGACCCACAATAAAGTGTTATTTTAAATTTTAATTATTGGGAAAGTCAATCATCTAAATTCGAGCGTTTCATCAAGTTAGGCTAAAAGCCATAAAAATTTATTTCCCACGAAGTTGGTTCCTGGTTGAGGAGGATCCAGCTAGTCAGTGATGTGTCACCCGGAACTTTCGATAAAGTGCCCACATTGGACGCTAGACTCTTAACAACCGCCTGACCTCATGGGAAAAACCCAAGAGGAATAACAAAGGAGAACGAAAAAAACCATCCAAAATCAGTCGTCTTCCAAAGTCCCTCAAGGATTAAACCCGTGAACCCGAATCCTGACGTAAACCCGTGCACCCGAATTAAGAAGTAACACCGTGACAAAAGTAACACCGTGCCTCTTTAAGAATCTCATCCCATTTCCGTGCCTCCACACCTCCGTGCTCCAGTTAAAGGACAAGAATTTTAGCGAACATTCCATCGGCGCCGTCATCTTACTACGGATCTTCAACTCCGAAGAAGGTATTTATTAACTCACGATTCGGTTGTAAACTCTCTTTCGAACGGACTAGTAATAATTAATATTATTTTAATTAATTAAGGGGAACGAATGTGCACAGTGGGAAGAAGAAAGTGAAAGTGATGATGAATTAGATTGTGAAGAAGAATTAAGGGGAACGTTAGTCATGCTTGATATCGAGTATATCTGTATTTTCTTTTGTTATAATTAAAATTGTTATTTATTTGTTACTATAGGGTCCGAGTAAGTCACTTCCTCGTCTCTCTCCTCACCTCTACTCCGAATCCAACCGCTCACCCGCTACCGCTCACGTGACGTAAAGTCGCGATTTTCGAGTCCTGCGAGATTCGGCGGTGTCACATCCTCCACGTGGTGTCAAAGAGACACCGACCCTACGGTCACATAATGTTTTACACCCAATCTGTAAGAACTCCTCACGATCATATTCGGACTACAGTACTGTAGAAATTCAAGTTCTGGCAGTACTACGGCTATACGCGACAGGTAGGAGAAATAATTATTATGTAAAATTAGAAGTATTACACTTAGTAATGTGGAGTGCCAAATTAAAAACAATATTTCTCTCCAAATTATTTTTGCCGCAAGTTAGATTTTGCAATAAACGTGATGGCAGTAATTATTACGTCAGTAACTTGCTTGATATAAAAAAAAATACTACTTTGTTACGTACCATAATCTGGGAGTTTTAAAGATTGTAAGCATATGGCTTTATGGTGACAAGTCCTCGTGTATGTGTATAGCGATTTTGGTTTGATTTTGATGCCCAATACAAAATTATAGGCTTAAATAGCAAATTTTCCGGTGCCAACCATGATTTATTTATCTGGAACCGTAGTGACTATTTGCAAATGCCCATTTCCTGTTTGGCGAGAATGAATGGCTCATGAGCAAGTATTGTACATTTTTTGAGTTTTCGACATGCAAATACTCCATTTTTGTTTGACTTCTAGATGATTCAGAGTATCCATTTATAGCCGTAACTAATGACACCAGGTTTTCACCCAGCAAATCACCCTGGGGAGCACAATATAATAGATCACTGGAATCCAGTAAATTGTTCAGCGTTGCATTGGCGGGTATAAGCAGTTTGCAAATATTTTAACATTGAATACGTACTGTTTTAATACTTACAAAAGGGCATCGTATTATATGTGCCTGTGACATTTTGCATAATATATGTGTAGAACAGTGATTCTCAACATTTTTTTCGTCGCGGTACACTTTTAATAATTTAAAAATTTGGCGGAACACACAGTTACTTCGGTAAGTACCGTAGTACAACCGGTGACGTCATAACAGTGATTTTTAAACGTAGTTGGTTATTTACGTGACATTTTCTAAACGTCATAGTAACTACCGGCAGTTACCGGTAACACCACTTACAATTTCCAAACGCGCCGTAGGAAGGTAGAACCGATTAAACTACTTGTCTGATGTCGCTTATGTATGCAATGGCGGCACACTTCAAAAATCTAGCGGCACACTAAAGTGCCGCGGCACAATGGTTGAGAATCACTGGTGTAGAACATGATGTTCTGTCTCTGGAAGAGAAATCTGCAATATGATGTTCCGACAATGGATAAGAACGACTTGTTCAAAGGTTTCTACAAGAAGATAGATAAGTGAAAAACTAACTTGGGCCTATTCAAAATTATTTTCTGTAAGTAGAGACAAGATGCTTTATTCACCTCTTTACAATAATAAAAGTTTTGTATAGACACAAAGATTCTTCTTATTCACCGTAAACAATGAATGGGTACACTGTTGTTATTGATATGTTTGAAGGCAAATTGATTAGTGCTTTCAGCTCCTCACCCAGTTTCTCTAACCGACTACCCAAACTTTTTAGACCATCAACCACGTTGGTTACCGTTGTTTCCATGAATTCCTGACTCCTTACGAAATCTTCTAGTGTTTGATTGTTTAACTTCCTTTGCTATATTTTGCTGTGAGTGACCGTTTTCGATTACACAGATTCGGAGTCTTCATTCGACGGGCGGAGATTCACCTATGAATAACTACGTATTGGCATACCAGCGATATGCCAAAATCATTTAACTTGCTATATATATAATAATATTGATATCTAAGTTTATCTGCTAAATAATAATTTACTGTAGTATTGATTCAATGAAATACTGTATATGATTATAGTAAATTTAGTAATGCATAATACAATATTCTTATAGTCCAAGATTTCTTGTTCTTTCTCTTCTTCTGGAATTCGAGCATCTTGGTCATGTGGGATCATTTCGGTAGGAACGTTTATTCCTAATCTGACAACTTTGTTTGTCCCTTGAAGAATTATAGTATTATGACTAATGGGATTTGTGGTAGAGTTAAATAACTAAATATGAAGTTTACATATGAAACAAAGATGTATTCTATATATTACTTACATCGTATTTTTTAAAACGATTTTATGTAAATAAAGTACGTAGTTTAGTTCTAGAGTTATCAATTTAATTTACGTCGGATTCATATTCTTCCCGTTCTTTGGTTTCCTATACCGGAAACGACTGATCAGAATGAGTCCCATAGATGTATTCCTCCCACGGATGTTCCTCGGTACCATCTTGCCCTCGTGTCTTAAGTGAAGAATAAGATAAATATTGTAACAAAATTAACAGGCATAAAAGGCTGTTAATGACAACTTATGGCTCTTGTTGAGATTAGTATAACGAATAGTTCGGAAATGGCTAACGAGTTACATTTCCGAACTTGTCTCTATCCCTTGGGTGCAGTTGCCTACTAGTTGGAAGACAATAGCGAAAAACAGGAAAAAAAGAAGTTGTAAGGAAATTGTTATAGTGCAGTGAAAATTGCAAGAATTCTATAACGTTGGGAGTGATTCCCGATGTAATAGAGTTCAGTTTTCCTTTTCTGTGACAGAAAAGGAACGTTAAACTGAAAGTTCGTTATAAATGTATTCACGAAAAGTGGAAAATTTTGTGATGAGTTCCAATGGAGGTTGGGTCGAAGAAAATCTAAAAGTTCGTTATTACGTGGTTCGTTATACGATTTCACTGTACCATAATTATAATTGATTATTTGCATTATTGATTCTGAATTTGTTATAATAAACTAAAAATTGTGGCAAAATCATTTTATGATCCAAGAGACTTTTTCCTTCTTGATTTAATTAATTATACTTTACCATCAATTTACAGACCTTAAACTTTTCATTTAAATGCGTATAATTATCGATAAATCACACAAAATAAAGATAAATAAATGAATAAAATTTTTCATATTTTCTTACATAAAAATTTTTATTATGTTGAAATTTAAAATAATTATTAATTTATCAATACATAAAAACTTAATTTAAAAAATGTATCGTGTATAATCTCTACGTAAGTATGGACACTGATCAATGTAACATACAAATAAATTAATTTATAAAATATTCATGCTTGTCATAATTAAAAAGAGAAAAATTCATCCTATATTAAAATGTTTTTATTTAAATATACCGTGTCTGAATATTAGAAAAATATTCAATTAAACATACAAAAATGTTAAGTTAATGAATACTTTACAAGTACTGTATAATATATCTATCAAATATTCAATAAACAGTAGTAGATGATTTGAATAAAAGTATTAGAATAAAATTAATATAATTAAATATATTTCAGCTGGACATACACAAATAAATACTGTATATAAATTGATTTATTATATATCAAATTAAATGATTCTGTGAAAAATTAATTGAAAGTTATGTACTACATAAATTGATAAAAATTTAAAATATGAATTAAAGATACTATAAATATTGTTCTATTCTCTTAGTTTTAATTTTATACTTAAAAATCAAAATTATTATACTGTATAATTTGATGGTGGAAATGATCATTTTTTTAAGCTGATTATTTATTGTCTAAGTTATAAAATTTGTCTTTTATTAAATCTTTAATTTATATCATAGATAAAGATAGAATTTATATGAAAGTTTGGATATAAATTAGCTTTATAAAGATTGTTTATATCACGTTTTTACTTTATCTACACTATAAATAAACTGCGTACAGTGTAAGATCAACTGATCTATAAGTGGCGAAATACTAACCATTATAAAAATTTCTAAATGATTTCTAAATTACCAAGATTAATGTCTGAATTATGTAAGATTCCTAAGCTTACACAATGGATTAATTATTTAAAAGATGGCCACTATATTTTACAACCGCAAAATTATACATAAAAAATAATTATTTTTTATACATAAAATGGTTTTATATATTAAAAAAACAATTCTTTGAATTATGTTTTATATATAAAACGGAAATTTGTTATCTTTAATTACGTTTCCAGTATATTGTTAACATGTTTGTTATATTTTAAATCCATTTAATAAAGGAATTAGTAGCGTCTGTTATATATAAAGTATCATAAAAAAAATTTATGTCAATGATAAACTAATACGCCTTTGTTAATCAACGATATGTTGACATTTGTTATAAAAACACCCATTTCGTTTCTCTCACCCTACTTACTTCCTGACATTCAGAGCTTCCATGTATGGTCAAGCAAAGCGTAGGAAATGTAGAAGCTCACACCCACTTTGCCTGATACTATAGAAGTGGAAAGCTAAAGTGGCTTTAAATAAACCATCAGTTTATTCATTAAAAAAGACATTCGAAACGCTAAATAATGCCTTTTATAATATTCAATATTAGTTTTTTTCCCGTAAAAGAAACGCTAATTCGCTAACTCTCCTAAACACTAGTTCGAATATAATACGAATGTTTTTATTGGACGAGGTTCAGAATGAGAATTGAATTACTCAATCGTGACTGGTGACACAGATCACTGTGTTGGTGGTGCGCGGAATTCTGACGTCACAGAGGTTTGGCAAAATGTGAAATAAGAGGGCGCTTTCGTTGTCAGACGAAGAAGGTCGTCTACCATTAAGCACGCAAGAAAAATCGGATAAAAACTAATGCATATATTGCACTTTTGCATTAAGAAATTTGATTTGATTAGTTCATTTTTATAAAGAAGAATTTCGTGTAAGATGCCCGTCTTTCATACGAAGACAATCGAAAGTATTTTGGAGCCTGTTGCACAACAGGTGAGTTTTTTCTTTTATTTTTTAAAGTTATTTCTACATTAACGGCTGTAAAATAATATCTGTTATTCGAATAACATTACGCAAACTCCAATTATTACACTATTTAGTACAATTACGAACAAACAATGAATCTTATATTTATAAAAATATATAAGCCGCAAACAAGGCGTTCTATACGTAAATCATGTTAAGTTCAAAGCTAAATTGGACGAATTTTTCTATTATTTTTTACTTGTTTTCGATTAAATTAAGCTATTCTACTGTTAAAAGACACGTTAATTGTGTAAATGAACGCTACATATTAAAATCTGTCAGTTACAATAATCATTTGTATATAAAAGAGCGTTTTTTAGTTAAAAAGCCGCTTAAAATATACAAAGAAATTTTTAAAAGAAACGTTTAACATAATTTACTGTTGTAAAACGGGTTTTATTATTATTACTATTATTATTATTCATTATTTCATTTTAATATTTATAAACTTGCACCATTGACTCGTTTTTGGATTCAGACTAATGTAAATTATCGGGTGAAAACTTTAGAGCTGTTTTTCCTTCTGAGTTAACGTAAACATTGTTAACAGATGTCGAAGTAAAACAGCATCCCTTCTCCTTCCTAATTTCCAAATATAGAGAAGTGAATGTCTGGATATGATGTAACAGGACACACCTTCTTCCAAGTAATGTGACGTAATAACGTTAGTGGTCAGTTTTTGAAATGTAATTCGATAGTTATTTTATATGATTTTCTCGAAGAGTTCAAATCGTAGTCCAAGGACGGTGTGGGTTGTCAACCGTACTTTACTTCTTAAATATGCTAGCATAATGTTAATGAAGTGTGCGCGGGCTGCCAAACAAGTTCAACCGCCTTCACGTTTGTGATGATGCAAATTGCGTCATCGTTACGTCACTTACACAAATATTCTACCTGTAATGGGAATTATACGTATGTATGCTGGTGTACACTTTATTATTGTTAAAATACACACAGTACATAAATCAACTGTCAAAATTAATTCTTAAGTGGTAAGACTGCAAAATGTTAACTTCAAAGATTTTGGCAGTGTTCTCGGTTGGGTTATATTTATTGCACATGACTCACGGCACGTGTTTCTTCTTTTTTTGAATGACCGTTCTTCACTGTGTAAAAATTTATTTAATAAATTTAAAATATAACATATAGTATATAATTTTTTCGACATATTTGTCTGTAAGGAATTAATTAAAAAGTTTAGTTTTAGCTTGCGAATGTATACGTAGAATACCGAGATTGGTAAATGCAGAAAAAGAGGACCTTAAAATTGCCGGATCTACTAATAGTCGCCCTGCTGTCGTCATTCACGTTGTTCCTCCCACATTCCTAGATAACAGGTGTCATTCCACACGAAAAATAGCGTACGTGTTGCCGCTTGTCTTTTAGACACGAATAAACTTTTATTTTTCACCGGAAGTCTAAATAAAACTGAGATTCGTCTTACAAAGCTAAGGGTTAAATTCTAAAATAAGAATGAACGTACTAAATATATTCACCTTTTTTTTTTGTATTTTATTCATAAAATTTCACGTACTGCTGTTTGCTTCCAACGAAGAATCAATATCGTTTCATTACATTTAACTACAATATGATCAGTGTTACTCGATTTGGAGCGCTCGAAAGTGTCGTATTATTTTTGTTTTCTTGTATTATCTGAAGTTAATTTGAAATAAACGAGGGTAACCAAACCACGTGTCACCTCGTTAATTTTATATTAAAGTTATTAAATTAAAAAAAAATTGAAATTGTCAGAGTTATTTTTATGTTTTTGAGGTTGTTGGAAACTTTATACACTCGTAAAAAAATCAATTCATGTAGTAGTTGAGAAATTTAAAAAATTGGCAGAATTTTCTGTGTTATCTATGAGGCGCGCGACAAGCATGACGACGTGACGCGCGTTAAGCGTGTCGCGATGTCAACTCGCGTTAAGTTCTGTCGTGACATTTGCTGCTTGTTTTAAAATAAAATATAATTATATATTATTGCTTAGATGTGCTATTACAGCAACGAGAAACCGATTGATTCAATTGATAAAAAAAAAGAGTTGAAGAGATTAATTAATCATTTTGTACATATTCAACAAGCATATTTTAATTCTAAAATGTGGCCAAAGATATTAAGTTACATATAATTTATGGAGAATAATTTTATCTTAAAAAGAAATTGGATATTTTGAAATAGTTAAATTTTATATTATTTTTTTAATGTTAAATAAGTTAGTAATAATTCAATCTCTCCTAATGTCACAATATGCAAAATGAAAAATTTTCTTTTAAAATTTTGGATTAAAGCCAATATGTACTACTTTATTATTAAAAGTATTTTCATTATTTATACAAATATATCTGAATAATGAAAAAATTAGCATTTACCCCTATTAAACAACAAATAAAATTAAAATTTATAATAATAAAATGTTAAATTGATTTCTTAAAATGTATATTTTACATTTTTGATAGTTTGATTTTGTAGATGTCTGCAGAAAATTTTAGTGGGAGATGAAGCTTGGAGACAATTACATCAATATATTTTTTTTAATTATTGGTTTTTTCGGCAGATAGATTGTAGAATATAGTACAGTATTGCATTAAAGTGTCACGTAGTTGAGAGTGTAAGGTTACGTACCTTAGTCACTTTTAGGATTATAATTTGTGGAATGTTTTATTTCATTCCAGTGGAAGGCAAGTGCCGTGTATACTCCTCTGCAGATGCCCATTTGATTTACTTAAATTTTTTAAAACTAGTTCATTTCTAACATTTAACATTAATGAAACTTGAACAATTCAATCTAAAAACTAATCATGGCATTCCATATCAATAAACGAATAAATTTAATTCATAATCATATTGATATATGTGTATATATATATATTTTAATTTGTAGTACATGTTACTAGATGAAAAAATAAATGAATAATATTAGCTTAAACTTTACAAATTTAAATCAGCATCCAGTGTTTTTTATAACATAAATATTCATTATATATTATCCTTTTTGTCTTTATTTAATATGGCTGTTTACAGGAATACTATTCATAATGATTATTTAGCAATTTATATTCTACTTCCTTGAATCTATTCCAATCTCTTTATTTTTGTTTTTAGTAGACTATCGTTGTTTATATAGACCGTAAAATAAACCGATAATATTTAAGCAAGAATATAGAATTCTTAAAATATAAAAAATGAGCATAAATAAATGAATTAAGAAAGAAGAAATATAAATAAATATTTTCTTTTATATATATTTATATAGTGAAAAACATGTTTTTAATCCTTAAGATAAACAATTTGATGTAAAATTTTTTATAAAAGTTTATGCTGATTAATGCAGATCTAAAAAACATTTCTTTTGCATCAGAATATTTTTTCTTCAATCCTTTTAATTATATTATATATGTATTTAGTGTATGATTATCTAATAATAATTAAGACAATTATTAAAAATTAAACATTGCTACCATATACTTTCATACAGATTAAATATTGTAATATTATATTTGATCACAAGAAGTAACTTTTCAAATTTAAAACTTAAATTGATTAGAAAATTCAAATTCGAAATCAGAAAGCTTTGATTAGAATTATGCATAATGAGTCTGCAAAGTTTGATTATAATATCTGTATTTATATACATGAATCTTGTATATTATCCACATCAACAGACTTTGCAAAAGGATCAAAATCTATATGATGATGCAACAATAAGTTACTAGTACTATTGTTTATTATCATTCAGAATTTAATAATTTTAAATTGCTGGATAGAAATCACTTTAGATTAATAAGAAATATTTTGTTAATCACTTTTTAATTGTTTCTAATTAATATTAAAAATGTATTAATATACAATAAAGATTTTGTTATGGTAATAAAGGTTTCAAACAATAGAATAAATAGGCAATTTACTATATTTTTGTTAATTTTTATTAAGGAAAAACAAAAAACAGACAATTTTTTATCATAAAAAAACTATACAAATTTTTATTAGTAAAGGAAAAATTAATGACAGTTGTTCAACAATAAAATATCTGAAAATATAAAGTTTCTCATATAAACAATTGAGGATCTTAAAAATTTATTACTATAAAGCAAGTGTTTTTCCTACATGAAAAAGCTATCACCAGGCTAATCTCTTATTAAAAAGAACAGAATAATAAAAATCAAAATACTGTACTAATTTATAACATTCTGCAAAGACTTGATATAGCTTTTAAATCAATTTAATACAGTGGAACCTCGGTATACGACCTTAATCCATTCCTGATGTTTGGATTTATACCGAATAGGACGTATACCAAACCAACCTTTCCCATAAGAAGTAATGTAAAAATGATTAATCCGTTCTCATAAAAAATGGCTGGCTTTAAACATCTCACTTTCCTGGCTAGTACCTGCTTGATTTTTCGTGAGATCAGCGTGTATCTTTTTAGCTTTCTCGCAAATAATTGCTTCTGATACACTGTCTCCAGCACATTGTTTTTCAGTTATCCAAAGCAAAAGCAATTTCTCAACATGATCTAATTCTTCGATCTCTTTTTAGAAATTGATTTAACCCCTTTCGCAATGTTATCAGATTTAATAATGTCTTTATTTTTCACGATTGTCGATATCGTCATTCTCGGAATACGGAATGCAACAGTTAAAATCTCGAACACGCATGCCACCTTCATATTTCTCAACAATCTCTTTATCAGTTCCATTGTGATTCTAGTCATTTCTTTAGTTTTCTGTTGCTTTTGGGTTGCCTTTTTGCAATTCATGATTAATAAAAATAACAAAATTTTACATACAAATTAAAATCAGAAGAAATTTATCAAAGTTATAAACTGTGGCACAGCAAACGTCTAGTCTGGTCTAGTACACTGTTCATAACTAGTAGCTACTTGTTCATAGATGGTACGTATAATTGAATTAAGTCTTATACCGAGCAAAATTTGTTTCATCCAAACAGGATGTATTCTGAATTGGACGTATTCTAAAGCAGACGTATACTGAGGTACCACTGTATAAGATACCTGCAAAAATAATAGTGAATATCAGTGTATAGATGTGGATAAAAATTTATTTATAGACATTGTAGACATTGATTTCACGTAACTAAAAGTTTAAAAAACTGGCAGTTGGAAATATTTTAGATTAAGAATGCAGTCATTCCACACAATCTTGTATAATCTTGTTTTCTTGCAGAACAGAAAAAGCAAACTTAATCATCACATATCTACCATATTTTATGGCATATAAGAGATATCCTCATTTCAGCACAGAATATTTAGGATAAAAAGTGTTTAGTGTATGTAAACCATCCTGCACTTTTGGTACTTGACTCACAAACTATTTTTTAATGTATTGTGGTTAAAGGTTCTTGAATTTGTGTGATTCATTCCAGTAATTTGTTAAGAAGATAGTTTATTCTGGTTAAGAAAGCAAAATTAAAATGCACACCTTTATTTATTATGGAAAAAGTAGAAGTTTAAAATAAATCATTTACAATTAAAATTTACCATTAAAACATTCTACATGAATACATATGAAAGCTGCTTAGCTATAGCAAAATAATAATAACAAGTTTAATTAAACAAAACCATTTTTATTCAAGAATTGGGTTTGGTAGAAGTTACTTGCAACTTACTGAAGGCTGTTTGGGAAATTCATTAGACCAGTGATGGGCAAACTACGGCCCGCGGGCCAGATGCGGCCCCCTGAAATGTTCTATCCGGCCCGCGCGACATTATTCCTAATCTGACGAGTAAAAAAGAATACAGGCTGTGGTGGTTGAGGCACCACTTAACTTGAGTGTTCGTTGATTATATAAAATAACCGAAGCTTTATATCTCACCATGAAAGTTTATTTACAATCATGTACAAAATTTTGTTTTACACTTATTGAGTAAAAGCTCGATCGGTTACAAACATGCTTCGGTACAGAACATCCACTCATCGTGCGTAGCGTAGCCAAAAGAGAGAAAAAGAAATATGGCGGACGGCCTGCACATGTTTTTATAGCGCCACCTGGATTTTCAGATGCAGCGCTAGGTTACCATTATATTGGCCCGCCTAAAGTTTTCTTCTTTTCCTTTGGCCCGCTCTCTAAAAAGTTTGCCCATCACTGCATTAGACTATGGAAGATCGCAACTTCATATATAAGATACAGAGCAATTTTTATGAGCCCTTTTTTGGGAACAAGTTGAATCTTACATGCTGTAAAATGTGGTTTTTAAAATAAAATCTATGTTTTCTTTTATATAATATGATATTTTGATGTATAACATAGATGTAATATAGATTTAAGCCATAAAAATCTTTATTGGTAAACAGAATTTCATCAACTGAAAAATCCATAGGCATCTAAAGTTTTTTTGAGTTACTGTATTTGTTGCAGAAGACCTTTTCCCTATGTCTGTTACAATTTGTTTTATTGAATATGTTAATCCAGTTATTAAATTGTAGACACATTTTATATTTGTCCTGTGATATAACAAATATTATATTTTTAAACTTTTAAAAATTGTATTAATTAAAATACAGTACTATATAGTTTATTTTATTTTTTTTAAATATAAATAAAAAGTTATATAAAATTTTGATTTGTTGTAGGTTACATTTACAGGGTGTATAAAAAGTTACTGTACAGTGAGAAATTCGTAATGACATTAAAGTTATACACATAGTATTGCATACAAGACCTATAAGTTGTCCATTTGGTACAAGTTGACCAGTTACATGCATGCAATAATGTACAATACAACTTATACAACTTATAGGTCTTGGACACCCTGTCCTTAAATAGATATTCAATCTTTTATGTGACATGTTACACTAAATAATTTGTGCTGCTAAATTTTACAGCCTATGATATCTATATTTTTGTCTTTTAATGTAGAATTTATCAACTGATAAAATTTTATTACAATAATTTTTGTTTGAAGTAGTAGTAATAAAATATATTTAAATAGGCTGTTTTTTCAATTTATTATTAAATTTAACATATTAAGAATGCATTAAAGCTAAAATATTTGCATTATATCATTAACCAAAATGAAATATTGGTTATTAGCTAATTATTAAAATTAGTAAATTAAATAGCAGTTTATAATTAAAATTATTATTACTGTAGTGCATCTGTAATATGAATCAATTAAAATTGAATAATATTGATTATTGTTTGTTTTTTAAACTGAAATTTAGTGCATAAACCTTTTATAAAATAATTTTTATTAAGAAATTCTAAGAAATCCAGTGAAAAATTCTAATATTGAGTTAATGAAGGAGAAAATTAGTATAAATATATTAAAAATATTATTCAGGTATCTAGACTGGTGATTTTACATGAAGAAGCCGAAGATGGAAATGCTATGCCAGATTTGTCGAGACCAGTTCAAGCTGTTAGCAAAGCAGTGGCCAATTTAATAAAGGTAACATTAAGAAACAGTTATAAAGATTATTATATCAAAATTTTTTATTTTGTCATAAAGTTTTGGTTAATATAAAATTTAAAATTTGTGAGAAGAATTGAAGATTTGTGAGGGGAAGATGTGAAAATTGTAATATGAAATATCTATAAATATTGGTATTACTGTTGTTACTATGTAGTAGCCATTAAAATCATTATTATAAATATTCAGCATACATTAAAAAGAATATTCATTAGAGCATTGTGTATAACATTACATCTTAATTATTTGATTTTAAAAATCAAATTGAGTAATTTATTCAGAATTTTAATTAAATATCTGTGAAGAAATAAAGAAAACAATTAAATATTAAAATTTTAGTTTCCTATTATTGAATATTTTTCATCAGCATTTTATTGAAATCTAGGTTGGAAGAGATACAATTAATAGCAGTGATGATATGATATTAAGACAAGATATGCCTTCAGCTCTCCAGAGAGTTGAACAGGCATCCAAACTTCTGGAAGAAGCATCTCAAATGCTAAAAGCAGATCCTTTTTCTCAACCAGCAAGAAAAACACTCATTGAAGGATCAAGAGGTAAATATTGTAATATATCTAATTATGTCTGTTTAATTAAAATGGAATCTATTCATATTGTAGATATGGTCATTAATAAAATAACCTTTAAAAATTCTAATTATTAAAATTTTTACATAAAAGGCATTTTACAAGGAACTTCAGCACTTTTATTGTGCTTTGATGAGTCTGAAGTAAGAAAAATAATTCATGAGTGCAAAAAAGTTTTGGATTATCTTGCAGTGGCAGAAGTAATTGAAAGTATGGAAGATCTTGTCCAATTTGTAAAGGTAAAATAATTTATCATCATTATAATAAAATTTATTTATTTATTTTTAAAAATTATACAATAGCATTCCTTTGAAACATATGATTACTGTCCCCATTACAACAACCCCCTTGCATATACAGAATACATGCAAAGTTATTTGAATACTAATTAGAAAAATTTCAACACTTGTTCTGTTACTTTAGTCAAAAGTGAGGTAACATAATTTTAATTTTATACTAAATTCAATCATATACATTACTTAGTTTTATATTATTTAGAAAATTAGTCATTTCAGTTAATAGTAAAATAAATTGTATAAGAAAAACTTTGAATAGCTATTAAAAATTTTTAACTGTTTTAAAAAATTTTATTAATGTAGTTAAAAATAAAAACATTTTAATGTATAAAATATAAACTCATAAAGCTACATTATTATAAATGATTATCCAATATCAAACCTCTTTTGGCACTGGAAGCCATGTGATTTTTGGTTGAGAGGACACTTAACACTTCACTATCACAAATGAGAACTTTTAATCTCTATTTTCAGTAATATTGAACTTCTCAAAAATTTATTGTACTTGATAACCTTGTCACTACATTTTACCAAGCAAGAACCAAATCTACTGGTGAAAAGGTTAAAAATTGAGATTTATCAATGACATGTTGGAAATTTGGCAGTCAAAAAGAAAGTATCATACTGCATGTGAAACGCATACTGCAATCAATTTTGGCCAGCTTTTGAACACACTGTTTATTACTTCAGGTTTTACACCTTCAGAATGAGGACAATGGCACTGCTGAAGATAAAGAAGATATACTGTCATTCTGAAAATATTGTAGTGTATAAAAATCATTGATTTGACACGCTTATTAATATTACCTGTTCATAGCTGCAGATTTGTAAAAAATTCTGTCAAGATTATAATTTACTAGTTTTACTGAGTAATTTGTCACTTGGCTGTGTATAAGCACCCCATTACGTAGAAAAGTCAGGCTAGTATAAGTTAGCAGCACTTCATTATGCATGCATGAATGAAACTAGCTACTGGTACATCCCAAATTCCTCAGTGAGTGAAAGGTAAATGACAGTTCATTCTCTCAGTTGAGTCAGATTTTCATAATTACTTAGGCCTATACATAGTACAATGTTAGCATACTATGTATAAATAAATAATTCTACAGTCCTTCATTCATTTTATCCAGTATCCTTTCCTTTAAAAAGTTTTTAAATTAAAAAATTCTTTTTGGGAGGCTACTGCCCTGGACCTGTGTTTTTTTTTCTTTTGCAGCAGCCACCACAAAGACCTGCTGCAGCTTCCCCATGACCTAGGAACAGGGATTCACTGTTCCTATTTTTTGGTCCTCTGTAACTTCATCCTAACAAAAAATGATAGCCATTGAGTGGGGATCACATTGAGCAGTATACCCTGCATTGCTAGTCTCTTTATAGCATAAGTATCTTGTACAAATAAAATGTGTTGCTTGTAGTGCCATAGTGGTGAGTTCTGGTATTAATTTTTTTTACATAAATGTCTTCTGCATGTCCTGAAATGTCACCATATCAGATTTGGTTGCATTTGGATTGCTAAATAAGTCTTTATACAGCATCGAATACTTTAATTATGATCACAGTATTCTGAAATTAAATGCCAAATTGTGTAAGTGAAAAATATTTTTGTAAATAAATAAAAAAGCATTAGACTAATTAAATTTATCTTTTCTTTGTTATTTTAATTTTTTCTATTTTTCTTAAAATGAAAATATATGACACAGATAAAATAGATAATTAAAATTGTAATATATGGCTTTGTAGATAATATGCTAATAATTCAGTCACTCAAATTTTTAAATATTATTATAATAAAATAATAAAATAAATTTTTATTATATTTTTTATTTTTTTAATTGAATTAGGATTTAAGTCCTTGCCTAACCAAAGTGTCAAGAGATGTAGATGCTAGAGAAAAAGAACTTACTCATCAAGTGCATCGAGAAATATTGATTCGGTGTCTTGAATCTGTGAAAACTCTTGCTCCGATTCTAATATGTAGCATGAAAATATTTGTCCAGATTTATTCTCAAGGTAGATAATTTAAATTGATATTTAAATTATAAACACAAATTAGAAATAAAACTTTATAATTTTAATTGGGATATTATATATACAAAGATGACCAAACTGTAACATGTTAGGAGTCATACTGTTGTAGATGCACATGGTGAAAAATAGTCCAATAAAGGGATATGAGCATAAAACAAAACTTCTTTATTTTTTTCACCTGCGTTTTAAATATTATACAGGATTCGTTAGATTCTGACACTCCTTGGACAAAAGCTTTAAAGTTTAAACACCCGGACAGAATTGTCAGTCAAAAATCTCATGACAAAATGATTGACCTAAGATACACGGTGCGACAAAAAAGGGCATGCGAAAAACTTATAATCAATTACTTAAAAACTACTTATACTAGAGGAAAGAAGGGATAGATTATAGGATAAGACAAGACAAGAACCGGGTACCCAAACTTAGCTAGCGACTTTGTGGTGGTGGTTAGAACTCACTCTGTGTTGGATGGGATGAATTTCGATGACTAGGGTTCAAATCTTTTGTTCCCTTAACTTGTTCCTTGATAGGCTTCCAGAGGGGCTTGCTTATTAAAATATTAGGGTCTTTAATAGTCTTTTCTATCTTTGGCATCCTGCCTCTTTCATTCTCCCATCAGTGCGAAATTGAGTTGGAGACCTCACAAAATACATTCTTACAGTTCAACGTCTCAGCCAAAAGTGACCAGTCTATCTCCCCTTTAGCCCCTCCAGGCTATCCATTTCTTTTGCCTTAAAATTAGGTTGTCACCATCTGCAGAGAGAAGTTTCCAGAAGGAGGGAGACAAAGGAACAAAGGGTAGAGGAAGAAGGGGAAATGAAAATATATAGTATGAATAAAATATACAAAAAAATATGACATAAGCCCACAATACAAACCTATCAGAAATACATGAGAGCCCCATTCTCAATTGAAAACAGTACAGTAGAGCGTCGATTTTCCGAATCAATTGGGGACTGGAGTTGTCCGGATAACTGATATTTCGGATAACTGATTTACGTACGAAAAAATAGTTTAACTTATCCCGTGTCGAAATTTTTATCCGTTGCGTGTCGTTTCGCGTTGAATTTTCGTCGATGTTAAACCTAACAANCCTTCTATGATGAGTTGACGTAGTTTATGTAAGCGGGAAGAATAATTAAGATAATTTTTACCGAATGTATATATTTTATTTTTTTTTATTTTATTTCTTTGTTTCGATTTAATTAACTTGTATAATTTTTGCAATTATTTAAACTTGGTAAATGTTAACGTACATTTATGTAACCACTTTTTGAATTTTGTTTTACGTAATTTCGAATTCTTCATTCGATTCAAAATGATAACTGAGGATGATTGCTTAAAGCGTTCGAAAGCGTTTTTAAGATATTAAAAAACGATTTGCTGGATTATTTAAAGGTTTTGATTTTATTTATCTTAAATTTCAGACATTGTTGTTAATTGTAATGGTTTTTACATTACAAAATGTTACTGCCTTAAAAATGTTTATTAAGAAACAAAATAGTTTTTCCTGTAGTTGTTATAAATTTGGATAAATAATAAAGATAAATGAAAAAAAAAAAAAAAACAAGAAGTTAAGTTTTTTGAAATTTTTGAAAATCAACCAAAGACTTGAATTTTTAGATAAACTGATAAATAAAATTTAACAAAATAAGAGATTGGAATGGAAACAATATTACTTTATATATTTTTGTAGGCATAATTTACATTAAAATAAAAACCAAAACTGAATTATATTTTAAAAAACATATTATTTTAATATTAGAAATAGGTTTACAGGTGTTACCTACTTGCAAACAGGTTAGGTTCCAGATGTTGTGAANAAAACAATAAAAAATTATACTTCAGATGTTAATTTAGTATCAAAAACGTAAAATATTTGAGTAATCCAAGACATAGCCAAAGATTGAAGTGCCACAGCACTGGCGAAAATTTAAATTTGCCAACTGGAATTCTTTCGGATGATTGACGTTTCGGATGATTGACTTTCGGAAAATCGACGCTCTACTGTATTTATATTATACCTGTATATAGTTAAAATACATAGTTATCATTGTTTTATAGTAGATATCACTGTTACTTTACCCCACTGCTATTTTATGACCAGCTAAGTAAACAGTCATTTAATTCCTTTGACTTTTTGAAAATATCATTAGCTTTCAATCACCCATTCGAGATTAAGTTGCAAGTTGTGCTTATAATCATTGTGTATGACACTACATAATAGTCATGTAATTTTGTAAGTTTGTTATGTGTAATTAGTATCAGGGCCATATCAAACAGTTTTGGCACCCAAGCAAACCTCATACCTGGTATGCCTTATTTAACATTAATTATAAAAAATTCTACAGCTCATTTTGGAGTGCCTGGGACACATACCCACCCTCATCCCCTCAGTTACATCACTGATGTACAGTACCAAGATTATGAATAGAAATTGTATAAGCATACAGAAGCTGCAGTAAGGATGTAGAAAAGCTGTATGCAGGTTGCAAGGCACAATTTGGCTACTGTGGCTACCATTACTAAGATATATATACAGTAAATTAACTGATTATTATATTTCACAACTATGTGAGGCATATCCAAAATTTAGCAAAGATTAAGAAAAAACGGCATTTTTGTTCATTAAAAACTTTGATGAGTTGCATGATAAATTGGTTATTATATACTTTTGGATGCATTTTAATTCCTTTTTAGAAATTTATTTTTTGCAAATAAATAAAATAAATTGTAAAAAACTCATTTCTTAAATTTCTAATTTCCTGATTCAGTTACATATGTAAATGAAAAAAATATATATACATATTTACAGTCGACCCCCCATAATGCAATAGATATGTTCCACTTTATAAGAATTTCACATTGTAGGAATCCTTAAATACATGAGCCAATCACAGCAGTTTACGGTTACAGTGTGCAGTTTACGGACTACGGCTGTTTGAAAGATTTTCTTCCATAAAATTAATCGATTCTAGATTAATTTGATTCAACATTTCCAAAACACGTATAATTTTTTGGGAATAATCCATATAAACTATGCTATAAACAAAAAATTGTAGGATTACTTACTGAGTGTGCACCATTCGATGACACCATTGCTTAAGCTTGTTTTCATCGTGGAGCAGCACACCAAACGGTGGGTGCGTTTTCTGATAAGTTATTTTTATGCAAAAAATTCCTCATTAATAGACCTCATTAATAGAAATAATTTTTATGGCCATTGAATAAGAAATGTTTTTTTCACAAGAAATGTATAAAATTACAGTACTGTATTAGACTTACAGTACCTAATTTATGTACTGTACAGACTATAGTAAACTCAACTTACCCACTTAAACTCTCCGTAGCATGTAAGTCGTTCGGCTGCTCGTCCACTATTGGTCCAGATTCAACCAATCCTGTCGCGACACGAGTCAGCGATGACGTTTTACTGCATTTTACAAGTCTCTTTTAGTGTCTTTATGTGAGACTCCGGAAGTGGGTCGAAATTCGTGCACAGAAAATGTTTTAATTTCGTATTTAAAAAAAAAAAGTGTTTTTTTAAATTATAATAATAATCATTATTTTATATTGTAAAAAGAAACCGTCTAACGCAAGGCGAATATATTATGTCCCTATATAGTCATATCTGTAGAAATTTCTGAGAAAAAACGAATTTCTCAGAAAGAAACAATAGATGAATTTGAGTACTTAGATCGAACATCTTCGATAGGAATCAAATTGTCAGTCGGGAGACTCACCCCGCGATCTGGGCTCCGATCCCGTTACAATTCGTAACGAGGAGGGAGACCAATTAGAGAACAGGGGCAGATAGACATCGCCCTATCGGAATGTTCGATCTGGGACTCAGAAAAACTTATAAAAATCGCGCAAAAATAGGATGTGACGTTCTTGGTTCATAGTTCTTGGTGCTTGGATACGTAGGGATTCTTCTCCTGGACGTACGTGCTCCTGACCTTTGAAAAAAAACAAAGAACCTTTTGGAACACCTTGGAAGCATCGTTCTCTGGGTGCCTCCTAGCGATCTACAGATTCGTCAGTTCGTCCAACGAGAAGCCGCCGAAAGCCGTGATCAACGCCCCGGGGCCTACGGAATATTTCACCGGCAGTGTCCATCCACAAGTAACGAAAACCGAATTTTTCGAACTTTATTTCGAACTTTACTCGCGCGCTTTGTGGTGCTACTTTGTCCATCAAGGAATTTGTAAGAAAATTTTCTATATTTATTAAACGGTATACGATGGAGGACCTGTCTCAGTAAAGTTTTTTCCACTCCCACACGACAGTGCTGACTGCTCGACTGTCGCGACACTTCCCCCCAATCGGCAAACCTCGCACTGGTGTCCCAGAAGTGGGATTTTAAGTCCCCAATTTCCACCGGGTCAATGACCTCACATTTATATGAATACAGTTGCAATTTTTTGCCGCAATATATGAACCCACATTATAGGGGGTCTACTGTATTTTTATTCTATTTTTATCTATTGTATATATATACAATAGCATCTCTCTGTAATTAAAAAAATGATAAATAAATTTAGACTGTAATATTTGTAACAAATTAATTTGCATTTTTTTTAGGTGGAAAAGGTGCAGATGAAGCAGCAGAAAATAGAAATTATCTGTCTCAAAGAATGACAGACGAAATAAATGAAATTATTAGAGTCCTTCAATTAACAACTTATGATGAGGATGAATGGGAAGCTGATAATTTAACAGCAATGAAAAGAGCTCAGGTAAATCTAATTCTTATTAATTTTACATAAATTTCCATTTAACTTTGTGAATTTTTAATTTATTTTTAATCTATTTTTTTTATTGATAAAAGAATGCCATTACTGGAAAACTTCAAACAGCTCATGAATGGCTAGCAGATCCTGTTGCTCTCACTGGTGGCATTGGAGAAAAATCAGTCCGACAAATTTTAAATTATGCACAAAAAGTAGCAGAGAGAGCTCTTCCTCTAGATAGGGATACATTAAAAAAATTATCTGATGATGTTATTACTATGACTAATACTCTGTGTGATTTAAGACAACAAGGAAAGGTATGTAATTTTCCTTTTTTTTTTTTAATGAATAACAGCATAAATAATTTATATTTTACAATAAGTTACTCTATCTCAGGGATCTTCCCCTCAAGCTCGATCTCTTTCGCAAGCTGTCAGCCAGAAATTAAATGATCTAAATAATGCTATCAGTCAAGCCATACTTAATATGGATCGAAGTGGCATTCAACAGCCAGCACATACTATGATTGGAAGAGTTGAACAAGCTCAGCGTTGGCTGAATACACCTGGTTATGATGATAAAGGACTTGGTAAGTTCAATGAATGACAAGCTTTAACCTTTCAGCAGTGGGATAGTCAAGTATGATGCTACCTCAAAGTAGTGGAGAATAACTGTGGGAAATTTTTAAAGTATTTTTCTGCATGTTTTTTCTAATTACCGTTTCAGAAAATGATTTTGTAAACAGTTATGTCTAGTAAAGAAGTCTTTTTTTTATTGTTACATAATTCATTTTTTAGGTGAATTTTTTTGGCGATAGTTTTTGGCAATACCCCAAAAGAATTTAATGGATATATCCATTCCTCACTGCTGAGTAGTTAATAAATAATAGAATTTTCTACTACTCATTGGAATAAAAGTTTTGCAGCAGAAAAAAAATACAACTAGAAATTCAATATTCATTTTATATTTTATATATGTTTTTTTCTTATTTTATTCCAATTTTCTTAAATGATATAAAAATTATAACAGAAGTAAACATTACAAAAAGATAAACTGAGAAAAAAATTCGGTGTGTCAGAAATGTTTGGAAATTAAAATTTTCATTACCTTTATTCTGTTTTCAAATAAGCAAATATGGATTTTTATTTGCAAATTAAAACTTATTTTGTAGGTCTTCAAGCAATAAAATTAATTGTAGAAGAAGGAAAACGAGTTGCTGAAAGTTGCAATCCCCATGAAAGAGCTGAAATTTATCATCTCTGTAATGATGTGGATTTGTTATCAAGACAGTTAGCAGATATGTGTAAACATGGACAGGTAAGCATATAAAAATGTTTTACTTAAATTAATGTAATAATATATTTAAATATATTAAAATAAAATTTATTGATTAGAATTATTAACTTGAAAATTAATCTATAATGATATAAATTTAATTTTTCTGATGGATACAAGTTCATTTTTTCTTAATATTAAAATATTGCAAACTAATCAACTATAATGACGTGTTTGAAAATTTATTAAATTATCTTTTTCATAGTAACTGTGTAACTGTAGTGATAAGACAGATTTCCTATTTATATATAAATGATTAAAATTTCATTAAATAAAAAATATTATATCAAGAAATAAATTTTATTAAAATTTCCTCTGCACAAGTTTAGAACTTTGTTTGTTTTCTGTAAGATCCTTGATCTGTTTGAAGCAAAGCAGTTGAGCAGGGGAAGACTGACTGCTGTTTATATTATATTATTGCTTTCTCTAATGTAGCAAATACCTCAGCATACATTGGACCAATTTTGCTTTGTTCTGACTTATCATCCTCTTTTTCACTTTTTTTTTAGATTTATTAGTTTCACTCACACATGCCATAATCTCATTGTTAGTTAAGACTGAAAAACTACCACTCACTAGTCATTCATATGCATCTTTTTTTGTCACAATCTTCAAGTCCAGATATCAATTGAAACAAGTCCATAAATTTGTTGACTTTTTCATTCTGATCAGTTTCTTTTAGATCTGAAGAGAGCTTATCGTCTTTTGTTAATGATTTCCAAGCTGCAGCTAACACATAGTGGCAGTCCTTCTTTTAAACACAAGCTTTTTAAAAAATTCAGCAACCAGTTGCTTAACTTTCCCAGCAACATTTGGTGGCACTATCTGTTGTCATATTTTATTTAAAAACTTTTTTTAAATAAAATATATTTTATTTAAAAAAAGCTTTTTATATTTTTAACTATTATAAAATGGCAAAAAGCTTAATTTTGAGGATAGGGATAGCTTTTATAAAAGTTGTAAATGCTAATAACAAGTAAAATGGTCATTAAGTCCAACTCTACTGGAGTACACACAACCCCCTTTATCTCCCCAGCCCCTTGATCTTTAATCACCAAAGTTTAATAGCATCAATCCCCCTAATAAAGAAACCTCCCTACAAAATTTCAGAAGTTTTTGACAAAAAACACAGTAGTTATTAAGCTTTAAAGAGGGTGAACAAAATTTGCCCCATATACACACTAGCATCCATACACACACAAAAACTCGCAACCTTTTTCTTTTTGCATTTCTTGACATTTCAAGATATCCTGAGTCCAAAACTGTCTTGAGAAGGTCATTTTTTGACTGATTGCCATACTTTCCCTCTGTTATATATAACAGCCGAGAAAGTAAAAGGCAACACTGTAAAAGTAAAATATTTAACATTTTCTGCTAAGAGTAAAAAGTGTAGTTTGTTTCCTGTATAGTACACATCCTCTTTAGTTTCTTGTTGATGCCTTGATCCATTGGTTGAACTAATGCTGTGGCAGGTAAATCAGCTCAAAGTTATTACAATTGCATTTATTATATCAGCTGATGGAAGATGTGGTGCATTGTCAAGCAACTGCAACATTGCCTTGTTTTCCTTAGAGTTCATGATGCCTTTTAATGCTTGGTATAAAGTCTTTAGTGTATATAGTATACCCTAATACCATTCACAAAAAAGACCAGAGTTTATCCATGCATTTTTTTTTGTGCCTTGTAAACAGTAAGTACATAGACAACAATTTTGAAATAATAAGGTTTTTTTTAGACTTTCCAATTAACAATAATAGTAATAGTAATGCATGAGTACCACTGGAATGTGTTTAAGCCAATGCAATGATTCATTTTTTTTTCTAAAACCAAGAGCTGCAGATTCCCATCATAAAACAAGTGACTTTTAGGATGGCACCTTCCAGTTTCTTTGTTTCATACACATTGTAGACATTATCTTTGACTATCCCTTGTTTTTTCATGAATTTTATGAATTTTTTATTGAATTAATTGACACCATGTTGTTGCAGGATGATAACTCTCTTTCATCAAGAAATCCTGACCACTGCTGTCTTTGAAATCAGGAGAGCCCCAAAAGACTATTCATATGTTGCACCTTTTCATGTAATAAAAAAATCAAAAATTAATTTCTCATTGTTTCTCCTTTTGAAGAACTGCAAATAAAGTGATCGGTCATATGTTGTATCATTTGCATCTTTTCATAATTTTTCTTAGGCCTATCATCAGCATCAAGTTAGGCACAAATTATAAGATGGCTTGTCAGTTGGCTTTTATATTTGATATTTCACCTTTCCTATCTTATAGTTTCTGGCAAAAGAAACTCCATTTTTTCCTTTGTGTGAACAGTGAATAATCTCTAGTTTCGATTCTATGAGCATTTTTACACTTATTTTTAGATGTTGATACCAACTCATGCAAAAAACCTCTGAAAACCAACTATCACAATGTCCAAAAACAGTACACTAAAAGCAGTACTAAAGGGTGTAAAAGGTTTTCTGCAAAAGTCTCTCTGGCTATAAACAATCTGACCTTTTATATTCCATACTTTGTTTTGTGTGTTCGCACTTCTGATTTCTTCTAAGAAACTCTAAGGACAAGACGACTTTCTTTGGTTACTTTTTATGAATATAGTGACATAGAGTGCCTTGTTACCATGGCCTGAGGCATTCAGTCAGGAACTCTCTGAGTGGAAAAAAAAGACAGCTTGTTTGGATAAATTGAGACATTTGATGGGATAAGATACCTAAGGCCACATTCATTTATTCATTGTTTTGATTTCCTGCAGTGGTTTTATATAATAAGAACACCCATAAAACAGACAATACATACTTGTATTTTAAAGATTCTTTGCTAATTTGTTAACATACATTGTTAAATAGCACTAATTTTCAACATGGCAGTCTCTGTGTGAAATGTGTTCAGCTTTTTGTGTAAGGTTTTATATTAAAACATTATGGGTTTTTCTAATATCAAGGACAAAATTTGAAGCATACAGGGAAACTAAATGCAGGGAAAGACCTCATAATCCAAGTTTGTGGAAGGATAATGAAATAATGTGGCAAAAAAATTACAGAAACCTTGTGCACCTCATGCAGGAATTAAGCCAGTAAAAGCTGTAATAACATGAAAACAGTGTATCTTTCTTGTTCATAATTAAATGCAACAATGGATAAAGTTTCATAGTTTATGGAAAATGGAACCTAACTGAAAATAATTTGTTGGATATATAATAAATTTATTAAAATATAATTAAAATATGTTTTAAATACATGTACCTCAGAAGACAACAATACATTCTGTATCAATAGATTCTTTATTCCTCCTAACATAAACAATTTACAAATTTTTACCAATTTTTGAAAATTTTTTCACCTAGGCACTTTTTCCATCAATTCTTAAACTGAAAAGCATTTCTTATGGTAAAAAGTTTTATTTTTAAGTTTTACTTCTTTAAACATCAATTTCTCAATGAATTTCACCTAATAAAGCTTAATTTTTTTAATAAAATTTTTCATTTTTTATTTAAATATATTTTCTTCTTTGATCTGTTACGGGCAGAAGCAGGGAAAATATATTTAAATACAAAATAAAAGATTTTACAACACAAGTGAAAGTTTTGAGAGATGAAATTCATTTATAAATTAATGTCTAGAGAATAAAACTTAAAAATATGATTGTTTTATTTTAACAACTACAGTATTTTAATGTTTTTACAGTCATTTAGATATATATTTAATTAAAATAAAAATTTATGATAAATAATGATCAATTTTTAAAATAATTTATTAGGGATCTACTCCACAAGCACAGGCTTTAGCAAGAACTGTTTCATCAAAATTATATGACTTAAAATCAAAAGTGCAAAATGCATTGGTTAACAAGGTAACAAAGCTGTTTTTGAAGTAATATTTTATATTATAATTGAATGACTTAATTAATATATTTTATTGTTTATTTTAGGTTGTGGAAGATTTTATAGATATTGGTACACCATTAAAACAGTTTACTGAAGCTGTATTAGCTGTTGAAGGTAGATAACACAATTAATACATATATATGTCGTTTGAGAAAAATATTTTTAATTTTTTTGTTGTAACACGAAAGAATAAAATAATACAAAATAATTACAGGAACTCCAAACAGAGAAGAAACTTTTCAAGAGAAAGCTCGAGCATTAGCTGAATATTCACAGAAACTGGCCAGAACTGCTCGTAGTGTTGCATCTGGAAGTACAGCAAACAAAAAAGTTGCCGAAGCTTTATTGGCATCTACTCATCAGGTTTGATCTTTAAATATTTTATACAAAATAAAGCAGTTGATTCTTAAATTTCATAAATAAAATTAAAACCTTTAAATAATCCAGCAAATCGTTTTTTAATATCTTAAAAATGCTTTTGAACGCTTTAAGCGATCATCTTCAGTTATCATTTTGAATCGAACGAAGAATTCGAAATTACGTAAAACAAAATTCAAAAAGCAGTTACATAAGCTCTGTACCCATCAATTAAACTACCTCCCTGCTTTTGCGCTCTCAGAGACTTTTTGTTAGCAAAAATTAGCAATTCGATGAAATACCACATGCAGATCTTGGAGTTGGCAGATTTAATTTGCCACACATCTTTCTTCCAATTTGAAGATAAAACTTACTTGCAGGCACGGGGCGTACCGATGGGTAGCCCCATGTCAGCTATACTCTGCGAATTAGTGTTGCGTAAACTCGAAAACGATATACTCCCCTCATTCCAGGAAGACATATTGGCTTACGCAAGATATGTGGATGATATCTTTATTTTATGGAAGGATAATCGCATGGTTAACCAATTTATAGATCTGATCAACGACAACCCATATGGATTAACCCTGGAACTAGAGCAGGAAAGTGGAAACAATGTTAATTTTTTGGATTTATCTATAACTTGCAAAGACGGGGAAATCAGAACAGACATATACTGGAAACCCACTTATCTTCCTATCGTCATTCCTTCGCAGACCCTGAGTATATAAAAATCGCCGTTTTTCGTTCATGGATAATGAGGGCACACACGCATTGCACCAGCATCTGCGACACGTACAAAGAATTGGATTATATACGAAACGTAGCGATACAGCAGGGATACCGTAGAGAAAGAATAGATGCTCTCATTGCGAATTGTCGGAAGCGCCACCCCTCTCAGGGAGGGAATCAGCGTAAAGAAAGAGTCGTGCTTAATTACATACCGTTCCTCAAAGGAATGGTTAAAAAAATTACCAGAGATAAGAACATACAGATAGTTTACAAGCGTAATCCCACCGTATACAGGCTCTTAAGGAACGATAAAGGCAGTTACGAACGCAACACGATGGCAGGGGTATACTCAATACCGTTAAAAGACCGTAGATTTAATTCTAATTTGGTATACATAGGAGCAACCATGAGAAACTTAAAGAAAAGAATTGCTGAACATAAGCACTCGGTAAATAAAAACGTAGACTCTACGGTGCTTGCTGCCTTTGCCAAGCAACAGAATATCGAGGTCTTTTGGGATCGGGCGTCGATCATTAAAGCTACAAGATCCAGGCAGGCCATAAAACATCTGGAAAAACTAGAAATTCACAAGGCGCAGTTGCACACAAACTGTATTAATCATAGGGATGCTGACGGATTGTCATCAGCATGGATATCCTTTTATGATGAGTTGACGTAGTTTACGTAAGCGGGAAGAATAATTAAGATAATTTTTACTGAATGTTTTTATTTTATTTTATTTTATTTCTTTGTTTCGATTTAATTAACTTGTATAATTTTTGCAATTATTTAAACTTGGTAAATGTTAACGTACATTTATGTAACCACTTTTTGAATTTTGTTTTACGTAATTTCGAATTCTTCATTCGATTCAAAATGATAACTGAGGATGATTGCTTAAAGCGTTCGAAAGCGTTTTTAAGATATTAAAAAACGATTTGCTGGATTATTTAAAGGTTTTGATTTTATTTATCTTAAATTTCAGACATTGTTGTTAATTGTAATGGTTTTTACATTACAAAATGTTACTGCCTTAAAAATGTTTATTAAGAAACAAAATAGTTTTTCCTGTAGTTGTTATAAATTTGGATAAATAATAAAGATAAATGAAAAAAAAAAAAAAAACAAGTTAAGTTTTTTGAAATTTTTGAAAATCAACCAAAGACTTGAATTTTTAGATAAACTGATAAATAAAATTTAACAAAATAAGAGATTGGAATGGAAACAATATTACTTTATATATTTTTGTAGGCATAATTTACATTAAAATAAAAACCAAAACTGAATTATATTTTAAAAAACATATTATTTTAATATTAGAAATAGGTTTACAGGTGTTACCTACTTGCAAACAGGTTAGGTTCCAGATGTTGTGAAGTTTAGTTTCCATTATAATAGAGAGACACTTTTTGCATTACCTCTACCGTAGATTTACTATTGTGTTTTGAACACATTTTTGAAGCAATAATTGTAAAAGTTTATAAAAATTTCAAACAATAGTTTATAAACATTGATATTCTAATGTTACAAACTTCAATGTCACCTCACAAGTAGCAATGACACATCAGAATTCATGTAAAAATGAAAAATGAGCTATGCAATAAAAAAAATCAACATTAAGTATTTATTAAAAATTTATTATTTATTACTGTCCAAAGACTGACTTCAATGCTACCCCATGAGAACTTCAGAACTTTGCACAGAATTTTTAAATTTTAAACATACAATCAAATTGTTCATAAATTGAACATTCGTAAGTAAGGGAGCTTCTGTATTTCATATTTAAATATGTATTTATATACATAATTTGGCTTAAGAATGTTCTTAATATTAAAATAATTTTTTAGTGCAGAAAATACAATTAAATATTAAAATAATTGCTTTAATTTAAGAATATTAAGAATTATTTTCTTTTATAATTTGAATTAAATCAATATAATCAAGCTCCTTAATGATTTAAAATTTTATTATTACTAAAATTAAGAAAAATTAACAATTATTTGAAAAATTAGAACAGTATCTTAACATGGAAATGCAAAAATCATTGATATCAATTTCAATAAAATTCAAAAAACAATAAAATATGTAAAAATATTTGTTGTATATGTCAACAAATTCACTTTGTATGAATAAAGACATTATTTGATATTCTTTTAAATATTACATGCTGAAATAGTTTCTTCTGTACACTTATAGAAAAATAATCGTTACATTAAAAATAAAAATATTCTTTTTTGATGTGGTAAATATATCAAAGAATATAACAAATATTTTTATATATTTTGCTATTTTTTTTTAGTTTTATTGTCATATTTAATATTAATTTGACTGCATCATCACAAGAACACAGTAATAAACATTCAGCAAGTATTGTTAAAAGGAACATTAGTTGATATGTTTATGTTTTTATTTTTTTGATAAAATGAAGTCATCAAAATAAACAACAGTTATTTTTATAAATTTTGTTATTGTTTTGAATATGATTGAAATTGATATAATAAATTGGTGTTTAAATTATAAACTATATTGAACATAAACATAATTGGCATTAAGATGGTCTGCCATGTGTATCAGTTCAGATATTTTGTTGACCATTCAAATTGGCCATAAAATTACAATTAAATGCTAACATTTAAAACATAACAGATATAATTCTTTAATATACTGATATTGAATTATATTTTAAAATAAATGTTTCCATTCCAATCAAATTCATATTTAAATTATCTTTAAAAAATATTTCAGGCTAAAATAATTTACATTATTACATATTTTACAATAGTTTAATACAAGTTTTGCAGATTTACATTTAGTTTATTGAATAAAGATATTGATATTCTTTAAAAGTGATTTTATCTCATTATCCTAATATCTTAAGATAATTGGTTCTTCCAAACAGTACCTATGTTACAAAATATCATTTGTATAAATAAATTAATAAATTTTATTTTGCCAATTTCATTTTAGTTGGAAAGTCTTACACCACAGCTTGTAAGTGCAGGCCGAATTAGAATGTCTTATCCTGAAAATAAGGTAATATATTTATTTGTATTCGTAAAAATGACTTATGCTGTTTGTAATCAATTTATAAACAATTTATTTATAATATTTAATATTACAGGCTGCTGATGAACATTTTGAAAATTTAAGAAAGCAGTATTCTGAGACAATGCAAAAGATGCGCCAATTGGCAGATGAAGCTACAGACACCGTTAGCTTTATAAAAGCAACAGGTAACAAAATAAAATTTTATAAATTTTTAGTTTTGATTGTTTGATATAAGTTTATATTTTTATTTGCTAATTACAAATTATATTTTTAATTTTAGAGGATTGTATTAAACAACATACTAATTCATGTGAAGATGCCATTGTTCATCATGTCCCACAACAGATGGTAGATAACACTTCAAGTATTGCCCGTTTAGCAAATAGAGTTTTAATGGTTGCTAAACAAGAATCAGATAATTCAGAAGATCCGCATTTTGTTTCGAAAGTTAATATAGCTGCTGATCAACTTCAATCAAGTAATTTAATATTATGTTCATTGTATAATTCATTTTCAAATACAAAAATTTATTATTATTTGTTTTGTTTCAGGTGTGACACCAATGGTGCAAGATGCAAAATCTGTTACATTGGACATGAATAATCAAATGGCCATATCACGTTGGAGAGATTCAAATAAGGCGGTAAATTATAAATTTTTTAATTAAATATTTATTTTTAAGAGATTTTATATAACAAAAAAGAAATAAAATATAATTTTCAATAGTTAATAACAGCTGTAGGTCAAGTAAGACAGGCTGTAACTGTGACACCAGAGGAACCACCTATACCTCCTCCACCAGATATGAGTTCTCTTAATCTAGATGGTAACTTAATGTATATTATAAATTCTAATAAAACAATAATATATTAAATTATTATAAAAGTGAAAGCTATTTAATTATTTTTGCATTTAGTTGCTCCTCCACGTCCGCCTTTACCTAATACTGAGGACTTAGCTCCTCCAAGACCACCTCTGCCAGAAACAGATGATGAATTTGAAGCTCACTTTCCTTCTCCTCTTCCAAATCAACCCATCATGGTCTGATATTTGTTTTTACAAATATAAGCATTTCTTTTCAATAACTTATTGAAATGTAAACCATTTAAACAAAAATTGTTTTACAGTTAGCAGCACACGGTCTTCATCAGGAAGTCAAACAATGGTCTAGTAAAGATAATGAAATAATTGCAGCTGCCAAAAAGATGGCATTACTGATGGCTAAACTTAGTCAACTAGTCAGGTAATACATTTTTATAAAATACATATTATCTAAAATTATTAATAATTTCTGACATATGAATAATGATTAATCTATATATTAGAGGAGAAGGAGGATCCAAGAAAGATCTCATTGCTTGTGCTAAATCCATTGCCGAAGCTTCAGAAGAAGTAACTCGTTTGGCAAAAGAACTTGCACGCATGTGCACTGATAAACGAATGAGAACTGTAAGTGTAACATTTAAAAATTTTTTAACTAAAGTTCAGAACATTATGTAATTTATATTAATTTTTAATTGCTTTCTAAAAAGGAATAATTATTAGAGGTAGGTATGTGAATATGAAAGAGTTTAAATCTCGTTTATTTGAATGAAATTTCAGTAGTTTACTGTTTATATTTTAATAAGTATATTTTTTCATTTAATAATAATGACAAATTTTTCAGAATATTCTCCAAGTATGTGAAAGAATTCCTACTATTGGAACTCAACTACGCATCTTATCCACAGTGAAAGCAACAATGCTAGGAGCTCAAGGTAAAGTTGTATCACATTTGTAAAGTTTTATCTTTAAAATTAAAAGAAAGACAATGAAAAAGAAAAAAAGGTGTTGGCAGTTACTATTAATGTAATTATATATTAATGGCACATTTTTATTCCAGCACCTATAATTACTCCAGATGGGAGCCAAATTATTTGTGGTAATTAAAGTTTTAAATCTCTGCATTATGAAGTGCATTGTGCATCTGTTCATATGCATGATTTGCTTTTCATTGATAGTAGGATGAGAAATAGTTTTTATTTCAATTTAATTTCATAAAAGATGGTTATGTATTGGCATTAAATCAACTAAAATAGGATACTTGGCTAATTCTTTCTTTTTGATGAAATTTCAAATTTGAACACATTATCATTCTTAGCTGTATGATAAATTATTTTCATATTTGCAATATCTTGTTAGTGAGGTTAAATACACCCAATTCCATTTTTATGGATTTTTTTTACGTGATTTTGATTTAACACAGTTTGGAAAAATAATTATCTTTTAACATGATTTGTTTTGATCTAATACATTTCAATAAATTTGCATTTTTAAAAATCTTCATTTGGTGTTAATCCTAAGAAAAATATTTACTTTCTTTTCTAGAAATTTTCTCTTTTTTAAAGAGAAAACATTTAGAACTTGCTTTTAAGTTGTTATACATGTTCAAGTAAATTAAGAAATGGCTGTTTTTTAGGAATTATTTAAACTTATGTAGTGACAATCAATCTTTCACCCCATTTAATTTAATTTGAAGTTTAACAAATTGTTTGTATGATTGCAATTCTGATTTCTTTCAATACAGAATAGCTTTTGTATAGTGTTTAGCCAAGACTGTTGAGAGAGTTTGAGCCCAGGATTGAGCTGGCTCCTTTTGTCTCTTAGTGGGTTCCCTTTAACCATTTATTTTTTGAACAAATAAAATACATAGAATGTTTTTTTTAATAAAAAGCAGTCTTATTTCAATAAAATAAAGCAGAAAATTTTATTTTCTGCTTTATTTTATTTAAAAACTATATTTTAAAATAATGTTAATTTTACTGTGTATACTGATAGGAACAAGCCTATAAGTTTTCTCTGGGCCAAAGGAAAATCCCAGCTCTCATCCTTTTGATATTTGCTGTATTTTAATGTTTAATGAAAAATAAGACAAAAATAAAAATAAAATACGTCTAATAATATAAATTTATTAAAGTTTGCTGATAAGTAAGTTACAATTGTCCCTCCTCTGNCGAAATTTGTGCACAGAAAATGTTTTAATTTCGTATAAAAAAAAGTGTTTTTTTAAATTATAATAATAATCATTATTTTATATTGTAAAAAGAAACCGTCTAACGCAAGGCGAATATATTATGTCCCTATATAGTCATATCTGTAGAAATTTCTGAGAAAAAACGAATTTCTCAGAAAGAAACAATAGATGAATTTGAGTACTTAGATCGAACATCTTCGATAGGAATCAAATTGTCAGTCGGGAGACTCACCCCGCGATCTGGGCTCCGATCCCGTTACAATTCGTAACGAGGAGGGAGACCAATTAGAGAACAGGGGCAGATAGACATCGCCCTATCGGAATGTTCGATCTGGGACTCAGAAAAACTTATAAAAATCGCGCAAAAATAGGATGTGACGTTCTTGGTTCATAGTTCTTGGTGCTTGGATACGTAGGGATTCTTCTCCTGGACGTACGTGCTCCTGACCTTTGAAAAAAAACAAAGAACCTTTTGGAACACCTTGGAAGCATCGTTCTCTGGGTGCCTCCTAGCGATCTACAGATTCGTCAGTTCGTCCAACGAGAAGCCGCCGAAAGCCGTGATCAACGCCCCGGGGCCTACAGAATATTCCACCGGCAGCGTCCATCCACAAGTAACGAAAACCGAATTTTTCGAACTTTATTTCGAACTTTACTCGCGCACTTTGTGGTGCTACTTTGTCCATCAAGGAATTTGTAAGAAAATTTTCTATATTTATTAAACGGTATACGATGGAGGACCTGTCTCAGTAAAGTTTTTTCCACTCCCACACGACAGTGCTGACTGCTCGACTGTCGCGACACTTCCCCCCAATCGGCAAACCTCGCACTGGTGTCCCAGAAGTGGGATTTTAAGTCCCCAATTTCCACCGGGTCAATGACCTCACATTTATATGAATACAGTTGCAATTTTTTGCCGCAATATATGAACCCACGTTATAGGGGGTCTACTGTATTTTTATTCTATTTTTATCTATTGTATATATATACAATAGCATCTCTCTGTAATTAAAAAAATGATAAATAAATTTAGACTGTAATATTTGTAACAAATTAATTTGCATTTTTTTTAGGTGGAAAAGGTGCAGATGAAGCAGCAGAAAATAGAAATTATCTGTCTCAAAGAATGACAGACGAAATAAATGAAATTATTAGAGTCCTTCAATTAACAACTTATGATGAGGATGAATGGGAAGCTGATAATTTAACAGCAATGAAAAGAGCTCAGGTAAATCTAATTCTTATTAATTTTACATAAATTTCCATTTAACTTTGTGAATTTTTAATTTATTTTTAATCTATTTTTTTTATTGATAAAAGAATGCCATTACTGGAAAACTTCAAACAGCTCATGAATGGCTAGCAGATCCTGTTGCTCTCACTGGTGGCATTGGAGAAAAATCAGTCCGACAAATTTTAAATTATGCACAAAAAGTAGCAGAGAGAGCTCTTCCTCTAGATAGGGATACATTAAAAAAATTATCTGATGATGTTATTACTATGACTAATACTCTGTGTGATTTAAGACAACAAGGAAAGGTATGTAATTTTCCTTTTTTTTTTTTAATGAATAACAGCATAAATAATTTATATTTTACAATAAGTTACTCTATCTCAGGGATCTTCCCCTCAAGCTCGATCTCTTTCGCAAGCTGTCAGCCAGAAATTAAATGATCTAAATAATGCTATCAGTCAAGCCATACTTAATATGGATCGAAGTGGCATTCAACAGCCAGCACATACTATGATTGGAAGAGTTGAACAAGCTCAGCGTTGGCTGAATACACCTGGTTATGATGATAAAGGACTTGGTAAGTTCAATGAATGACAAGCTTTAACCTTTCAGCAGTGGGATAGTCAAGTATGATGCTACCTCAAAGTAGTGGAGAATAACTGTGGGAAATTTTTAAAGTATTTTTCTGCATGTTTTTTCTAATTACCGTTTCAGAAAATGATTTTGTAAACAGTTATGTCTAGTAAAGAAGTCTTTTTTTTATTGTTACATAATTCATTTTTTAGGTGAATTTTTTTGGCGATAGTTTTTGGCAATACCCCAAAAGAATTTAATGGATATATCCATTCCTCACTGCTGAGTAGTTAATAAATAATAGAATTTTCTACTACTCATTGGAATAAAAGTTTTGCAGCAGAAAAAAAATACAACTAGAAATTCAATATTCATTTTATATTTTATATATGTTTTTTTCTTATTTTATTCCAATTTTCTTAAATGATATAAAAATTATAACAGAAGTAAACATTACAAAAAGATAAACTGAGAAAAAAATTCGGTGTGTCAGAAATGTTTGGAAATTAAAATTTTCATTACCTTTATTCTGTTTTCAAATAAGCAAATATGGATTTTTATTTGCAAATTAAAACTTATTTTGTAGGTCTTCAAGCAATAAAATTAATTGTAGAAGAAGGAAAACGAGTTGCTGAAAGTTGCAATCCCCATGAAAGAGCTGAAATTTATCATCTCTGTAATGATGTGGATTT